GTTGCTGAGAGTTTGAGGGAGTTTCCCTATGTCTGAGGGAACAGAATGCCTTGAAAGCGCTCCCCATAGGTCAGTACTGTGAGTTCTTTGTTTAACATTAATAAATGACTTTCCTCAACAGGTATCCTCTAAAATCCTTTTCCGTCGATGACGTGAAACTATGAAGAGAAGTCAAAGGTAAGACGGTGTTTCTCTATAGAAAGAAAACTTCAAAACTGGACAGCCAGTACAGGGTTCTCATATAATCTTGAAAAGCCCGAGGCGTTACACGTAAAACATGATACATGTCACACATATAGCCGGAACGGGTCCAGAATATACAAAGGCTGACTGGTTGCTCTGGATCCGTACCTCCCGAAATATAGAGAAGTAAGACGCAGCTTGATAATGGCTTGTAATATCTTGGGTACCGCACATTCGTCTTACTAAGTTGTCCCTTCACTATCCCCAACTCCTCCTCACAACCGGTCCAAACAACTCTTTGGTAACCCAGCATCTTAAAGACTCAACTGCATCGCAGCTCCAAGCAGACTAACCAACACACAAACACCTGTCGTGTATACCAAAGCAATAGCAGACTAGTGGCTGAATCTACTGCAATGAAATCCGCCAAAGGCCTGGAACCATTCCGCAAGACCTAGAAACGGGCATGAATTAATCGACCAGTCTACAAAAGCTTGTCAAACGGACATTGGAATATGAGATATTAGCTGTAGCACAAATCACACATTCAGAAAATAAGCCTGGAACACAGTAGATTAGATATCAAGCACAACTTCTAACCCCTAAGAGTTGGTAACCTTAGAATGCTTTTCCTGCAGAGGTGATCCAGGGGAACTACATTTGAGCCCTTTAAACGCCAGCTTGATACTTAATTGAGAAGTGGGTGGGATCTGCTCAGAAAAATTGAATTCTTGCAATTAAACCGCCTCTTTTTGTTCTCTCTGATTTTGTAGACAGGTTAATAGCCGTCGGAAATTGTGATTCAAGGAATCTTGATGCAGAAGCCAGTTAAGTGAAAGCTTCTATCCAAGCAACAACCATTTTAACTATTTGAAGCTATGGCGCGTCTTGTAAAATTGAAACTCCGCGGGATGTTTTGTTTATGATCAGTGGTGAGCTTTGTGACTTAGCAACTATCATAGTAAGATTTGTCTTTTTCTGCTTCCTCTTTCGTTTCTTATAAGTCTAATGTCTTTTAGTTTGTTTTGGTTCAAAAAGTCATGGGCCATACATTAGAATAAATTGTAGATATTTAGAAGTATGAATCATTTGTACAGAGTGACATACAGTGGCCGTAAGTGTTGTCACACTTTGTTATCCTGGGCTTGGGGACAGTCAAGCTTTCACCGAGTGGAAAAAATACTTGGAAGATCATTTTATTTTGTCTGTTACCATAAACATTAATGTCACACTGAAAGTATTACCTGCTGAATGACGTTTCGGATACAGCTTTTTGTCTATATTTAGGCTTAGATGAAATTGCTGTCTAGTACAATACCTAAATTTTACACTTGTTTTGGTACGTCGAAGGCGAGTCTGCTGGGGCTAACCAAGCAAATTAAGAGTTGTTCACTTTGGGTAGCAGGAAGCCTGATGCTAACCTTCAGTTTCCTTGCTGGCAGCTGACTTGGTCTTTTCTGTTCGTCGCATTCTGCTAATTTCAGGCTTTCGAATATGAAGAGTGGGTTTTAAAATAGAAACTGTGGCTGGTTCGCTTCTCTCTACTATCGGTAGTGGAAGAGATCTCTTATTTGAGCAAAAACCAACGGACTTTTAATCGATTAACAGGTAATTTATTCCTCATCTCAAAGCTGGCTAAGCGAAGAAAAGAATAGACATCTCTAAATACTGACACGCCACTCTGAGCGATTAGTTGGTACCAACAGGTGATCGTTTGCGGTATCAAAAAACAGAGGGAAATATCTGGGATGGAAGTTGCAGTAAATATTAATAAAACCTGAATCATGAGCAACTTAGGCCCTTGCACAGTAATGCCACATCGTATGCTGACTTTATGTATCTGGTTGAGATAGTCTGACTATCTGCAGTATTCTTTTAGGTCGGGACTGTACATCTTCATTGTAATCAGCATGTCTCAATAATTTTCGCTTAAGAATAAGAAATAAGCGGCAAAGAATGCCTCCCTAACTTCAAATGATTTCGGAAACTAGTCTTTAGGCCGGAACGATCGTACTCAAGGCTTGCTTAAACTTATGTGTTAACACATTACTGCTTGATACTGATATAGTAGTCAAATGAAAGCGTGAAAACTGCAAGTTTCTGGTCAAGCCTAGCTGTCATGTCAGATTTTATATCTCAAACTCTTGCATAAGTGGATGTTTGTGAGTCAAGTTTTGGCAGTGTAAAATATCATCTCAGCAGTTAAGTGACACTGCCTCATTTGATGGGTTCAAATGTTACAAGGAACTACAATTATTGCGCTTTCGGAAACATAACTAAGCGTGAAAACATGGGAATCGTCGTCTTACCCTGAAACGTGTCCAGACACTCAGGCCTACTGTCCTAAAGCTACAGCTTGACATCAAATAAGATAATAAACTTTGTCACACCTATTTTGTTGTGCTCACCACGAAAACTTCCCTGTTTTCTGAATTAAAAAACGTCAGTTTCTAAAGTAGTTCGGGAGAGACCTTTGATTCCCATACGTTTGCTGATATTTCAATCAGCGGTGATTCCTGTTATTACCGTCATCATAGTTTCGGTACAACATTCGTACAAGAAGATACGAAAAATGTGTCGATTTAACGAAAGTAGACGAAAAGCGTCATTGTTTTCACTTTATATCAAGTATTACCACAGGTTATTCGTTTCTTTATCTATGAACTGTATGAAAGCTGCTGAGACATAAGTAGCATGTGCCGGTGTTCTAAGATAGCACATGCCACTAAGCCCCAAAACTATTCACATATTGCTCTACCGATAACTGTTACCTTAACGTGTTAGTCCGTTTTGGATATCACAATGACCCAACAAACTGTGGTGGTAGGAACATTTGTTTCTGGAAGTCCTACCATACCACATAGGTCTGTTAGATGGTGGCAAGGTGAAGGACGGATACCGTAATCGTGTGTGGATAGCTACGCTATGACGGAGGTCCGAGGGCGAACTGGTTCTGTTGGCCGAATGGGGAAGTTTTTGCAGCAAGTTGTTTCCGCATATGACCAGCAGTTCATACTGATACTGACCTCATCGGGAAGGAGAGCGGACTGTATTAGGTCGACAGACAGAATGACACGTCGCCCTTTGATCATTCAGTGCGGTATGTTCCTCAGCTAGACCCAACACAAACTTCTCTAAAGATTATTGTGATTGGCCTTAAGCAGATGTCCCTTGGGTCCTACGGTCATGCATCACTTATACTAATACAATTTCTTTTTCAGGTGTCTCAAGAGAAAAACTATGGATTGGGCAGCTGCAAAAGTGCCAACCGCCGTCACATCTCTATAAGCGTTCCCAATCCCTCAGATGATGATCATCCTACTATATTGCTCTACTCTCCTCAGACATGCGTCATCTCTAGTTTGTATCAGCTATTAGTCTCTCAATGACGATTTGAGTTCATTCAGTAGCACTCCTGGTTTTCTGAACCGCGCTTCAAACTAGACATTGGAACTTTCAATGTCCACATCCCCTTTCAAGCCGGACGAGAGGCTTCGCCAGTTAAATCTTTAGCAACTCGAGCCATGGATATGCGCAGTGTTCGCGAAAGGCGCCACGCATTGAGTTTCAAAGTTTGGTTATTCGTCGAACTTCATTTTGCCGGTTTTGTGAATCTGCATGGAATTCATTCCTTCAGGATTCGACGGCTGGCTCTCTCTGTCTTGGTGAAGGCATAGCGTCAAGTCTTGAAGCCGAAAGCATACTGCTCAACTGGACTCCTGTTGATAGTCTTGTACATACTGTTCGAAAACAGTGCTGGACGGACTAGAAGAATTAAGGGAACTTACCATTGCCACTTGGTAACCTGCTATTGTTCACTCTGATGACTGCACTTCGAATGAATCGTAGGATGTGCTGCCGAAAACTGTTTACTCTCCTACTAGAAACCGGACTTTCAAATGTGGTTGTCGTTGAGGATGATCTCGATGCATAAGTGGGTAGACTAAACTAGACAGAAAAGTATTTAGGGAGCACTTTTGTAATCCCAGCCGGAAGAATGGATAATTGTGATCGCCTGCTACAGCTGCGTTCTTATAACAACCTATTTGTGCGCAGGACAAGATTCAGATAATAAGGGACACTGTTCGAACAAGCCTGTCTTTTGTATGTGGACTGATACTACTCGGATGCTTAGGCCAAAACAGATGGTTAGCTGAGAGAATGACTCCGCAGCACTTTAACTTGAATTCTGTTGCACTTGCTAAGTAAGGTGATGTAATCACCTGGTTGTTAGTGACCGGATTGTGTTCGGATGCCATTCCTTTCTACTAGATCCTGGGGCTCATGTGTACCACTGGTTCGAAGTCAGGCTTTTTCATCTCCCCATGGCAGATCTTCCTTACCCAACTATCTGGTTATGAGCCAGTCATTCACTCATATCCTGTCATTTGATGGAATTATCATTTAAAGGTAGTAAACCTGTGGTTACATGAAAGCACTTTATGGTGAAAGAGCTCATGCGACTCTGCTGTACATGGATGGTTGAGTTTTTCAGTAAGGAAATGTTAGACTGTTAGCACAGTCACTATAGTTTCTTCCAGTATCGTTTATAGACATTTCGTCGATTAGTCTTCGAACAGGAAGACTATATTTTACTAATATAACCGTAAACTTAGGTATTGGTAGATTGTAATCCCCTCAGTGTCTTAAATGTGTCATAATGAAACAGTATATTGAAAGGAAAACGTTTCGGATACAATTTATTGTCTAAATTCTTATAAGCATTCTTCACTGTGTGATGGTATAGTGCATCAAATATTTTTTTACTTTTGAAATAACCTGATTTCATTTTTCAGTTGCTCACCGCACAATAAACTATGGAGGAGAATTTTCATACCTTACTAGGCGCAACAGTCGCCTACATTGGTGACATGAAGAAGGATATGCTCAAACTTAGTTGTGCGTTAAGTCCTGATTTCTCACAATATTTGAAAAATAATGTAGGTGGTGATGAATTTCCAGTCAACCAAATTACGAGTGAATTCAGTTCATCTGGGGAGAAAAGTGAAGTTTCTTTTGATGCCATTTGTTCGGATCTTAAAAACATCAAGAGCTCTTTATCTCACACTGTTAATGCTTTTTCGTCATACAGTGCACAAGTAAAAGGTGTACTTGCGGATCAGCTAACATTACATGACATTTCATCTGAGAATTGTATTCAAGCGGACCAAAAGTTTTTTCATCTGCTGAGCCATTTGGCTAAAGGTTTACAGAGTGGATTATTTGCTCGGATTCGGGAATTGAGTACACATTCCCTATCGAAGAATCTATCTGAATTCATAGATCACTATAACGAGCTAAATATGAAATATAATGAACTGTTAATTGTTTCATCGGAAGTCCCCAATAAACAATTGGGCTTGCTCGAGCAAACCAGTGTCTTCGAACTGCTTGAGAAGGAAATCAGCAATTCGGCGAAAGAAATTGAATCTGTCCGTTCTAGTTTTGAATCGAAGCTCAGCGCTGCGACTGCTGATTGGGAATATGAAAGGTCAAAACTGATGACGGAATTACACAGGCAAGCAGGTAAGGATATATTTGTTTCCGTTTTTCGAGCATTTCGCATCTTTCGTGCTCGCTATACAGCCTACTTGTGCTTATTGTTGTCTTTGTGCAGTATGTTTATGCAGGATTTACTGAATGTCCACCAGAAGCATCACTAAGATATCCTGTCCTATAGATGTTTCACTTAATAAGCTTTTCAGATGAGATGAGTGAGTGACAATTTATTAAGACCGAAATGCTAGATTTCACCGTCCTTCCCTTTCAACGCTAATCTATTCAGATAACAATGTGTGATATACTCCCGACTGTTACTGACGCCGTGACGAGCAGTTAATTTAGATGATATGAACCACTGGTTCTAAGAAATCGTTAGTCGTTGACCAAATCAACGTTTCCAGTAGAAACTGATGCGGTTAAATTTCTCTATTGGTTCTCACTTAATTGTATCATTCTCGCTGTGTATTTCCCAAAGATGGTATGATTCAGTGTTTCACTGGCGGACTCGAATGATCAACGCGGGTTGGGGCGATTCGCTTGTCTAGGCGAGTCACTCAGGATACACTACTGGAAAAAAGTGATGTCATGTTCCGGTGTTCAGATCACCTTTATGTAACTAGTGTGCACTATTTGATCTACAATCATGGTTGAAAACTACTTTTATCAGTATGTATTCATTTTTTATCGGTAAGTAAGCCATGGAGAGATTACTGGCGGCTGACATTTCAGTGAAAGACGGGACAATATTTGCTTACGCTTCATGTCGGCAATTTTAGAATAGTAGTTAAGATACTTGCCTTTACATTGTATGACGGTATTTTAAAAATTGCATATTCCTACAAGCAAATAACTGGTGAGTAATACAGTGAAGTATTGTTCGTGATACGAGATGTCCACCTGGACTAAGCGAAATGAATTAGTCGTTAGTTTTCATCTAATCACCTCGCTACTTTTTTTCACATCTAGTGGGACCAATGTATGGTTGACACTCAAAGCTCTATTGTTTCTGGGTACACTCGATTTCTGTGGATTTTGATGTCTTCGGTAACCACTTTCTAGTGTAATGTTAGGTTGAGTCCGGAGGATACCACTTACCACACATGTATTAAGTGACCCAGTAAAACGCAGTGAATCATATAATAGTTAGGCTTACGGTTTTAGGTAATGCAGGTGTCCAAGTAGATTAAAGAAGTGAGTAAATACTGAACACACAATTATATTCGAAATGCATGCAAGCAATGACTGTTCCTCCAGTGTCGTCTGGCTTATCGAATTGTGAGAATATCAGTAGATGAGGTCTGACCAGTGACTGCCAGAATGATTTTTATCCAGTGAAAATGCATCAAATTTGAGCTATTTTCAGTGTGCGTAAGAACGCGCCAGAGAAGAGACCAGGTAGATTATTCTAATTGGTTGACTAAAAAGTTGATCTGTCCAATTACGTCAACCTGAAAAACAGCAGCAGAGGCCAGAAATTTAATTTCTAAAACTTCTACGTTGTCTTCAGACTTTGAGTTTTGTATTGCTCACTTCGTTTAAGGTTTTCCTACATGCTGCTCGATGAAAAGAGCTGGATTTGATCGGTTGAATAGATGTAGGTGTTTTCAAAAAGAATCACTTGTTTGAGAAAATGCCAGATGCATCTGAAAAGGTTACGTAAGGATACTCAGGGTGTTACCAATGTATCTAACCCTGAGGCACTGAGGAGTCATCTGCTCGTACATTAAGAGCTGGGTGTATAGCGGAGTTGTGTGTCGTTTTCTGCTTTTTAACTCATATCGTGAAGGAAGAATCATTCTTGTTAGCATTAAGTTGACATGGCCCTCAAAATATTGTGGAAACAAATGGATGAATATAGATTGAAATGATTATCTGTGTATATTTACATCTGTTGGATCTTGGCAAACTCACGTATCAGAGTCGGAGATATGATAACAACAAACACTGCTGCTCACGCTGAAGAAAGCTAAATGGGATCCAATCCCGACACTGGTTGATTATCGAATGCTTAGACGATCAAAGTCCCCTTGAAAGGCATTTTTCAGAAATGTACAATTTTTCAAGCATTCAGTATAGTTATGGATATAAACATAAAATATATATAGTCAGATGTGGTAGGTGTGTAGAACAGTAGCTAATTTTGATGTTTGCCATCAGGATAAGTATGTGCAAGTGTCGAGAAAGGAGGTGACACTGAAGAAACAGAAACGACCTATACATTTCCTGAATGATAGCTGCTGTCTTACATGATGGTCAGGTTTGCATATCACAATGACCCAACAAACTATGGTGGTAGGAACATTTGTTTCTGGAAGTCCTACCATACCACATAGGTCTGTTAGATGGTGGCAAGGTGAAGGACGGATACCGTAATCGTGTGTGGATAGCTACGCTATGACGGAGGTCCGAGGGCGAACTGGTTCTGTTGGCCGAATGGGGAAGTTTTTGCAGCAAGTTGTTTCCGCATATGACCAGCAGTTCATACTGACGCTGCTTTCCCGACGAGAATGGAAAGGGATACCTGTCAAATGTACGATGATGCTTCAGGACTGGCCTGCAGCTACTCCTAGATTAAGGATATGCAGTAAACTGGTCGAGTGAGTATAGCACCCTGCTTAGTTGGGAATTGCCATCCACTGGAACGGGTTTGGCTGCTGACGAAATCTCAGCCCAGATACAAAGAGCTTGTTATGCTTACACCAAGTCACAACGGCTCTGGTCTTGGTGAGATATCCGGCTACCTACCTATCAAAGGTCGAGTGTACTTTGCTGCAGTTCGATCTGTCCTGTTATACGGCTCACACTTGACTTTTGGAAGTTGGAGATATAAGATTTCAAGCTTTTGACCACAGGTATCTTCATAACATTGCTGGCATTTTGTGAAATGTCTATGAGAGCAATGTTGAGGTTATAGGTGAATGATATTAGACAAGAGAAGAAAGTCAGTCAATGAGGTGGGCTGAACCTGTGTTTTGCTTGGCAAGTTGACACCTGTCACGATGAAAACGTTCGTAGAGGTAGGACTGGGATACGGGAAGGTTAATGATAGTGAGACGAAGATGTGACACCAGCTAGTGAAGTCTTTGACTGTTGGTTCGAGGGGTGTAAGGAGGGTTCTCTAGGCTGGAGATGCTTGGTGACATGACTAAAAGTCGGTCACAATGGCACAGGCGTATTCACTGCTTATCATCTTCGAAAGCGTAAACATTTTCACTAAAATTCATTTTTCAAATTCTCGCTCACACACACTTGTCTACTGTGATGATATAGCTCTTTTTGTGTCCACTTGTTTGCATGCTGGTGTGAAGTGCGGCAACTTGGAGCGAATCACTACTCTCCAAGGTATCAAGTCTTACGTCTGTCTGGTTGACTGATCCTTACCGGCTGACCTACAAGGTGTGTGTTTTCTTTCATTCTTAGACGAGGATAATGACAGTGGTTAAAAAAATCTAGCATGTTGACTACAAATGTTTATATCGACAGTGTGACATTCGTTGCCCAAATACTTTACTTACTGTCCACACATCGAAATGTTGTTTATATAGTTTATGTATTTGAATATATCTGTTTAATTTCGTTGTAGGCGTAATTGAAGAGTTAAGAGGGACAGCAGAAGCTAACGAAACTGCGCACCTGTTGCTCAAAGGTATGTGAAAAGAACCAAATGTTAAATATAAGCAGGAAATTTAGGCGGCATTTACTTTCCCATCAACTATTTATTGATGAATTCATCATTATTTGTTGTAACAATTTTGCGCACTTGAGAAGTATTTAGTGTTGAAAAATGGGAATTCAATTTGAAATGTTTGAGCTTTTTTGTTTTTCAGGGTAAAAGGTACATATCCTGCGTATGTGTATGCATTGTTAATTTTTCGAAGTACTTGATAAAAATAAATGTAGACCGGATTATTTCTTCTCTGTGCACTCATATTTGTGTGATTAAGGGATTATCATATGAATTTGACAAGGGATTTGCGTTTTCGAGTATATTCGACTTCGTCACATGATGTCATACTGCATCAACCTTTTTGAGGATTTTAATAATGAAGCAGCGGTGGCGGAATTGTGGAACTCAACAGCTGCGTTTCGTTTCATGTGTCAAATTATGAAGATTACTGACACTACAGGATAAATGGATGTGAATTCGAATTCGGTGTTTGTACTCTTACGAGAACATCCTGTGACCAACTTCTTCATTCTACTAGATAATGACGCTAGCATCTTCAGAAGTGGATAGTGTTCTTGGAATGTGTTTGACATTCTGATCATGAAACGATGAATTGATCTATAGGTCGGTTGACGACCTGGAGTTAAGTGACCGGTCGAAATATCTGTTTCGCATAGTGTTTTCCAGCTATAACTAATTGTAAAGCTGAGGTGATATACAAATAGTGATCCAACAAAAGAGTTTTCAGTTGGAGTTATGTGCGTAAAAACACGACAGCAGTAGGTGAGTATTAAGAGTTGACAGTTCGAGAAGACTACAACTATCTAGCTACATTTGTGAATTATTATGCATAGGTGAATAGATCGTAAAGTGAGGAAAGCGGGGGTTATTTGATGACAGTTATGACGGTAAGTTGATGGGTGAGGTTGTAAACTCTCGTATAGAACAGTCAGGATACGTATTATTCGCCCAGTGACTCAGAAGCAGTGATGTGTATTTTGAACTGCAAAAGTCGTAAGAAAGCCTGATGATCAGAGTAGAGTTAATGGGAGTCTATGAAGTTGTTCACCGAAGCTTTTTTGATTAGTGGAGTTTGGTATAACTACAGTATAATCAATAGTGGGATAAGCCAAAGTTGATCTGAGTTGATCAGATGTATTCCTTGTGTATACTGCTGAAATCAGTGAATATATTGTTCATCACGTAATATGTTCTCTTTATTTATTGTTTGAATAGTTACGTGGTTACCACTGGCAATTCTTACCCCAACATATTTACTATCACATTCGCCAGCTGAGAGAGAACACCAACTTCCTACACCTGTCCGTAGTGAATAACATCGTATCTGAAAGAATAAAGGAAATGTACAAGGTCTTAAAATGTATCAGCTATTCTGTTGGGTTATAGCTTCATGGCAGAATATGATTGGTTGACTAATTAGTTGGCACACCACTGCCATACCCTATTGACTGGGTGTGGTTGTTGTCAAGATGCGAGGTTGTTGGTCTGACTGTTGGTAGATGGAACAATCTTCGAATATCTAGGGAAGGACTAAAATGTAGTCAGTATGTTCTCTTGAACGCGGAGGAAACAAACGTTCCTACATCATAGCTATCTGCGTCATTATGTGATACACAAGGCTGATCACATCACGGTAGCAGCTGTCTGCTGGGACCTGAGTTGAACGCTTCAGTATTTAAAGTTTATTCCGATTTTAAAATTAGCTAGGTAAAGTGATGTTGCCATTTAGTACTTCAGAAAAGCCATCTGTACTTCATTCCAAAGTGTTCCAGATATCTTTATAGATAAATGTTATTCGTTTCTTAACATAATTGTTTACCAAAAATTATGCCGTAGATATTATCTATTAAATTATGCTCTTTCACTATGTGGCTTACAATCATAAATAACCGGAGTGCTTAACTCCTATTCTACGAATATTCCTGAGCTACAAATATTCTCAATCATTTTCAAAGACGCCCTAATGACATCGGATACAAGTTCATAGAAGGAAATATGTGTATAAAATTTCTCATATTCTATGTCTTGCAATAATGTCGTCCTATTTTTCCCCCAAAGTGCTTTGTTTTCAACCCACTGACACTTTTTCCTAAAATGTTTCTGATAATCTTTTTATGATTAAAAATATCATCGGAAGACATTCACTCAAATGAAATGTAGGTTTATATTGGTCGCATAAACGGTAGTCGTAGGGATATTGAGTGATATGTAACCATATTAGTAGTTTTTACTACTCACAATTTTCTAATTTAGTTCATTTTTCTTTCGTCAAATTTTTTAGGTGAACTGGGTCGGTTAGCACAAGAGTTCTGTTCAAAAGAAAATGTTGACGTTGGTCCCAACTCAGCGCTAAATCAGTTGAGATCATTTTTATTTAAAGTTGTAAAGGTTTGTTAAACTTTTCTATCATATGATATGATGCCATGTTTTATTTTGATATTCCTTCATTGTGAATTTTTCTTACAATTTTAGAAATGCCCATGGATCAAGGATTCACTTTATGGGTCCAATAGTGAAGCGTATGATTCAGTACTTCCCAATCCTATTGAACAAGTAAGTAGTCGAAGCGGATGTGACCATCTATCTATTCGGTTAGCGTTATCCAATGTGCTACATGTCTAGGAATTCCCATCTGTAACTCAATATGTATATAGCCCATGTGAAGCTGTGGTTCAGTGGATACATCACTGATGAGCTTCGTTCCAAGCAAGCGAGACGATCATCCGGTGTTTGCATCGCTCTGATCTGGCTGGCGGAATTTACAGATCATCCTGACTGATTTCTAACTACTCAGGTTGTTCAGTAGTATGTTTCATTAGTTCATGACACATTTGTGTCTGCGTGAAAAATTACTGGATTTCCGAAGTATGCAAACAAAATATTTCGGATTTCCATTGTCATATTTTTCCACTTACCCATTTCACTAACTTTAGCCATTTGGGTCTGGTTAGATGGGTAGTGATGCGGTTAACAGTTCAATAGCTAGTTTACTATTTCTGGGTAGCATTCACCTTTCTCGCCCTTATTCGATCAGTCAAATTTACACTTTCAAATTGTCCATACATGCTTGTTTATTGATTCAAGTGGTTGTGATGCTTTGGTTTGTTGGATTTCAGAGGTATTTAATTTGCTTTATTTGAACGCCAGTTGTTGTAATTTGAGTTGTCATACGTCTCCTGTTCTTTACATTTATAAGTTTGTGTATGTTCTGAGGTTGACATTAAGGGAGAATCGATTATTGGGTAATGAGGGTTCTGGTCTGGTTATCAGTTGCTAAATGCTCAGTACTGAATAAAGTTTATCAGTCAAGTTTACAATGTGGTTACTAAACAATGTAACACGACACGAAAATGTGATACGCCGTTTGGTGTTAGATATCAGTAGTTAATCGGCAGGTAGCCCTCAATCTAGGTTCCATGTTTATCAGCACCTTTCAGCAGGGTGTAGGGTAAATTTTAAAAATGTGAGATTGTTAGAAAGGCGGAAATTTTGTTCCTGGTGCATAAACGTCATGTAGGTATAAATGTGGATGCAAACAGCTTTTAATAGTACCATAGGAGATTTAAATGTGCTTTTCGTTTCCGTCCATGTAATCTGCTACGAATTTCGCATTTATTTACAGAAAAAATCTTTAGACAAAATAATACTGGAAAGAAACGAACTTGAAGATGAATGTCATCAGTTAAAACAGAAACTACTCTCACTAAGGGATTCACACACGGAGCTGATGAATAAATTAAACGTGAAAAATGATGAGCTGCAGCTTGTAAGTTGGAACTATTACAACTTCTGCTTGATCAGTGAAATGCTTTAACCCTGTTTTTCTGACTAGGTGTGATTGATGAAAATGATAGTCGTTAGTTTGCTTTTTAGATATGTACCACATCGCAAAACCATTATTTACTGCATGGCGTTTCAGAAACAGTTTATTGATTGTAGTCACACCGAAGGCGATTTTATGATCCTAAAGCGACCATATCTCAGAGTTATGGCTAGCTGGCTTAATCACTCAACCCTCTAGCAAGTGTGTGAAGAGTTCAAATCGTCCTCCACCCTGTTAGACCTGGATAGATGGTTTTGTATCGTCAACCTTCACATTAATTGCGGCTCATAACCTGGTACAGTCGATAAACACATGCTGGATCGAGTTACACTATTCTACTATGAGCAGTGAATTCTACCCAAACATCTTCCAATCAATAATACTGTTTCTTTTGTTTGCATGGTATATCTAAAAATATACTGAAATGGAAGCGTCTGGTTTCTCAAATGTGACGATGATGGTTGTAAGGGAATATAAAGTGAAGAGGTGCGTCTGTTCAGTTTTGTTGATATTCTTATTTTTAGTATAATAATGATCCCGTCTGGTGTAGGCAGTTGATTAACAAACTGTTTCATCAGCTCCAAACCCGCTGTCACCTAAGCGTGAGGTAGTAACAGAAACCCTCACAGGTCAAGTATAGTTCATAGTTTAGCATACAGAAGACTATGGGACTCATAAATATCGTTATTAACGGTGCGTTTCTCAGTGCCTACATTGCACTGAGTTTGAAACCAGGTTAAATCTGGGTCGAAAGTAAGTCAAGCTATATTATATTCCCTCAACGCACCCGCACACACTGACATACCCAACATACTTGTGATGAGTAGTGTGAGCACATGTGTGTACACACAAACCTCAATTTGCAGTTCACACTCTCATACTTGAAGCATTACATATGATCATCGTCTTTCTCAACAATTCAACATCTCAGAATCATCCATACGGAAAAATTAGCATTCAATTTATCCTACATAAGCTTGGATATTGATAATCCCGATTTACTACAAGTTCGATGAAGATATTAGCATTAAATAGGGAAATAACAGTTGGAACAACCCTGTTTTATTTTACATTCGTTGGGGAATGCAAATCCCAAATCCCACATTTTTTCCAACATTGAAATGTCTACTTTGTTTGGATATCTACACAATGAAGTTAGCTTTAGCTCATTGGTTTAAGAGGAGAAACTAGGGACTTTTTTAGTGTATAGTCTCATATTGAATTGTTTGTTTGGTTTTCTACAGAGTTCAGTGTCATCCAGTAAATAATATTTTTCCATAGTGTGAACTATCTAATCAACAAAGTAACATCAAGCATTTTCGCCTCACTAATGAGTTTATCTTTCGGTTATTAATGTTAATGGAAATTTTCTGAGTACCGTTGCACAGAGTTGTTATTGGCGGAGGAGGCTTATTTGTTTGTGGGGTTATCTTATTTCTTAAATCTATATCAGTCAGTGTTTGTGATTTTAATAAGGCTTTTTGACGAATGCAACTGGTGTTTTACTTTTGAATGTTAGATTGTATATCTTATGTGGGCATTCAATCTGCGTCTAGCAGTAGTTGGTGGGTTGGATACTCTATCTATGCCTTAGACACTGAGGCTTAAATCAATAGGCGGGATCGTTGAATCACATACAAATATTTGGTTGTATTTCTTAACTCTAGCTCGTGAGTTATTTTAATTACTGTATGCAAGTAATGGATATTGAGTGATTATTCTAGTGATACATTGCTTTTGTTTGTGTAACTACCTGTTATGTTCACCGAACTGTGGCCACTGTTACTGATTTTAACTTCAATTGATCCTAGCTGCAATTATTGCCCTGGGTTGTTGTATACAAATTTGATCCTCCTACGAGTAACGTCAGACCGGCGGACGCAGGAAAGAAGGCAAGTGTGTTCCACTACTCTACAATAAGTGTTAATATATTTGAGGCAATGCGTTGGAAATATACAAGACCTAAAAAAGCCTTACACCTGAAGAATATCAGAGAATGGTAACTAAAGTTAGTGAATTTAAGGTCACTGACTATGTATTGGTTATAACTCTCATTCAACCCGCTTAGGGATGCAGTGGTATCTACGGCTAAAATATGTCTATAATTATTGCTGATTTCTGTAACTTCGAATAAATCAGGTACTTGAGAAGTCTCGAAAATTGGAAGGTCGTATCGCACATTATCGGGAAATGATAAATAAATTGTGTGATCCCAAGATTGCCACAGCTTTTGCAAACAATCTTCGTCAAAATATACCTTTCAGTAAGGCAGATGTTCACAATAATTCATCTTCTGCTTCAACTTTGTCAGTAAATTTGTCGAATCAAATCAACAGTTCATCTACTTGCCTACGATCAGAACAAGAAGGTAGGTGTTGGGTTTTGGTTATTGTGGAAATGTGTTGCTGTTGTTGTTTTTTGAAAATTTTCGAAGTGATCCGACTTACGCGATACAATTCGTAACCGAACAGTGGAAAGTAATATTTAAACTGCTTCTAGGTGCTCTGTTTGATTTTCCTGCCAACCCACTAGCAAATTAGACAGAAGAAGGAAAAACGAAAAGGAAACTAAACAGCGGCAATTGTAATAAAATGTGAATCTGGCTTTCTGCAAGGGGATGTTGTGGAGAAGCCATTCAAAGTTGGGTTTTGTGAAGCTATTTGTAAATCCCACGGATGTTTAAAAATGATGTGATGATACATGAATGAATAGTTTTTTCGTAATTTCCATAAATAATGTTGTTGACCAACTTTCGAACCTGGTAGTTAAGGGGAACAATAAGTATGACCTTAATGGACTGCTTCAGTTGCTAAACAAGATGTCTATGTAGTGAATTCTGTTATGTAATGGTAGAACTGTGTTCGTTAACAACTGTGTAAGATAATTCGTCCAGTCGCTGATCCTTGTTCCTATTCGAGTTGCCTCTCGTGTAATGTAGTGACTGACTTGCTTACCCGAAAGCCTCACCAACCACCAGTTGTGACTACTTATTGATGTCTATGTCCTACATAGCAGTGTGCTTTTTTGCGCTACATGGGTATCATGCATGATTGATGGGGGTGAAGGATTTTAAAGGTATTAAAAGTGTAATACACGATGGTTGGATGAATAAAAAGAAAAGGATGATTTTCACATGGCTTACAAGTGGTAGTGTGGTGGGGCAGTGATTCGAAACAGCTATTGGTTTAGCTAAGACCAAGAGGAAATAAGGGAATACTTCAAATATACTTAATATGAATTTTAAAAAAATACAAATTGTGATATGTATAAAGCTGTTTCTTAACCTCATTTTGTACACTTGATACTTAATGCTCCCACTTTTTCGTTCAGGCTCACTTACGACGGTTAGTATTCTATCATCGAACAAAACTTCAGAAACTCAATCCTCATCAATCTTTTCTCGCGTTGGTGCTACAGTTACAGCAGTTGCGAATGTCATTACTTCGCCTAAACGCCCTCATCCTGCTCCAGAGAGCTCATGTGAAAGTAAACTTATTCGTCCAGATCACTTAGCACAGAAGTCTAATCAAATTCCCTATACAATACCTGTTGTCGGAGCGACAGGTTTAGGAAGATGCGAAGACATACCCTTGCTTTATGTAAGTCTGTTTGAATATTTTCCACATGGATTTGCGAAACATGGTAGTAAGTGTTCGCTGGAATAAGTATGTTTTAAAATATGCCTTTTCTATGAGAAGCTGTCAACTTTGCCACAGAAAGCAAAACGTTCAGATGTAGTTATAGTAGTAGGTGACTTTAACGCTCAAGTGGGAAAGCTGTGCCAACCGGAGGAGTATCTTTGGGGGTATTTACAGAGTCCCATGCCAACGAACTGGCAACGGTGATCGCCTGTTGCAGTTTTGCTCGGACAACCACTTGTTTTTGGCCAGTACCAACTTTAGACATAAGGAAAGACTGTTTCAAGTAGCGACCGCCGACTTCAAACCAAAGAAGGACACAGATAGATTGCGTTGCTAGGGTTGTTGTAGAGGACCGGTGAGGGATTGCTGCTGTTTCTGAAGTACCTGTTTGGACTCTGATGACGCTGTAGTACGGGCTCATATATGTTTGGACCTAGTTGCTGTAAAATGGCGATCTTAAATCCTATTTATGGCCGGTTAGTAGATAAGGACACCAAGTATGTATTTAAGGAGAAGTTAGCTCAGCATTTATGTGAGGAGACTTGAGGTCCTATTAGGTCTGCTGTGGAAACAGGTTAAAACAATTGGTAACCTACATCTGAAGGTTGGAGGACATCACTAGACTTCCGCAACGCCATCTTAACTGATTGATGCGAAAAAACTAATACCAGCTAGCTCTGACCACGATAAAGAGCGAAGGCAACTGAAACGTAAGTTGACCTCGAGTCTTCGCGCCGACCGCAAGCAGTAATGGGTGGCGAGAGCGAGAAAGATGCAGAAGGCATCAGCAGTGGGTAATACTCGGCAACTACTTAAATTTATTAACGATACCTGCAAGAAAAAGACGATGGTCGGTGAAACCATCACCGTAAAGGATGGGATACTGATAACCTTTCAAGATGGGCGGCTAAAACGTTGGGCAGAACACTTTGAAACACAGTTCACTTGACACACGGCAACGCTTCAGTTGCCCAACATCCAGTCTGAACCTCAGTGGGACGTAGATGTCGGTCCTCCAACTCTCCCTGAAGTTGAGAAAGCTGTATGGAACCCGAGACAATGCAAAGCGGCAGGACCTGACAATTTGCCGCCTGAAGTTTTATAGGATGGAGGTAGGAAATTGCAAGTTAAAGTGATGGATGTACTATTTAGTGATCGTATCTGAATTAGAGGTAGTCTCTTAGGCCTGGTCTACGTCTCTGGTCATCCCGGTCTATAATAAGAGAGAGATATGTCTTTCTGTGACAACCATAGGGGAATCAGTTTAACTTACATTATGCCCAGATCCTAGGATCCATATTTATCCGATGCCTAACTGGAGCTTGAGAACAGCAAATTCGAGAAAACCAGGCAGTTTGCAGACCTGGAAGAGTCTGCATCGATTATATTTTTACCCTCCGACAGTACCTCTAATATAAACATACTTACCGACCAGTGGCCGACACTTTCCATCTTTCTTGACCTGGAGGCGGTGTTCGACTGTCGATCGTGAGGTGTTGTGACAGTGTCTGACTGTGAAGGGAGTACCGAGCAAGTATATAAAGCTTATCAAAGCTCCCTACTCGAACTCACGCAGCCGCGTAAGGGATTGGTCTACTCCCTGGAGGTCATCTGGTTGACTTAGAGGATTCAGACTATATTGCCCTGCCAGGTGAAGACGCTGACAAAATACAAAGTCTTCTGGATGCGTTGAGCAGAATCCTGGGCATGTTTAGCATGCGTCTCGCACCCGTCAAATGTCAGATGATGTCCCAGGACTGGCCTACAACCACTCCCATTTTAACGATTATGAGTCAAGTGGTGAAAGGTGCCAACGTCTTGAATTAATTGGGGAGTTGCATCAGCCCGCCGAACGGATTAGTTGCTGATAAAATCTCATTTGGGATACAGAAGGCCCGTTTGGTATATGCCACGCTGAGCTACCTGTGATACTGGGGTAATCACCATGGGAGCAATGTTTAGGTCAGGCGAAGGTTGCTAGACAGGACAGGTAAGTTGATTGATGAGGTTGTGAACCTTAGTCAACTGAAATGGCTTGGATATGTGTTCTGCATGCCGATTCACCACATACCTCAACGTGCCATGCTAGAGGAAGTTGGATGAGGGTTTAGAGTGGCCAGACCAAGACGTGGCACTAGTCGATGAAGTCCTTGGTTATTGGTCTGAGGCTTCAGTGGAGTTGTAGACTGCCCGGTTGGGGTCCTTAAGACGATAGGAATCAGTGGTTGAGGACTTGATGAAGTGGCGGAAAATTGGTCACAGTGGCGCATCTTGAAAGCTTGAATATTCGCACTGATCGTTGTGTTCAGATTGTTTATTCTCTCACAACTTTGTCTACTTTTATGTCACTCGTTTTCCATCCACCTGTCCTTTTTGTACTACTGTGAAGTGTAGCAACTTGAGCCGATGCATCTGTGTGCCAGATTCTACGCTGGTTTTGTCTGTTCGTCTGTCTGTTCAATGATTCAGCAGAGAATTGTTATTCGAAAATTACCATGGGTATTGGTAAAAGTATCAATGCTTAGAATAAGGTCACATTTACAGAAATATGCTAGTGATATACATCCCTATAAGTAGCGTTCATTGCAGTAGTCCAAATAGGAATGTTTAATGGTTTCTTTGCGTAACTACCTTTTAAAGTAGTTGTCTTCGTTAAAAGTCCTTCATGTACCAGTATATTCACGAGTGTTCATATTACAGTTGTCTACCGTTTACATTTTGATTGGCCAGCATACGAGACAATGGCTTACCAAGTCTCAGTTTCACCTTTGTTATCTAGTGAAACTTTGTATCATATTGTTGTGTAAAGAGAAGATATAGGTGGATATATTTCGATGAAACATTGGTTTTGAATTTTTGTTGAAATGTCTGCTGTTTTGCACCCAATGATAACAATCAAGCGTTGCATTCATGGAAATTAATGGAGATGAGGACCACGCTGTGTTTGATGTTGCAACTCGGTTGGTGAATCATAGGGCCAGTGAGGTGAATAATGTTGACTTGAATTTCGAGGCGACCAAGTTGTTTCCGGTCATTGTTTGTTTGAGTGGACCGGACCGTTCTACCAATTATTTCTATTTCATGTGTTTTAACCACGTGTGCATGTCAGTTTGAAAGCCTGACAGCTTTCGAACTACACATTGATCCCTTTGTAGTGGCGTTGTCAGGATTCATGTGATGGGTTTGAATATTAATGGAAGTACCACCACTCATTTAGGATATAGACATATCCAGCTGACAAATCAGTAATGAGATGAAAGGTGTATTCTGGATTCTATTGTTAGCTGATATCAAGTATATAACCTACCTGTGTGCTTTCTGGTTACCATGTCGCATAAACGGAAAACACACCTGATCAAATAGTAATGTGATATATTTAAAAATGTGATCTATCTATCCGCATGTACATCCTCTACGCTTTTATACGGATATAGCTAATCTTATTGAAGGTAGATTTAAGTTGTTTGTGTAATAGGTATGCACACTCTAACTTATTTTTTGAAAAGCGTGTATTTAATCTGTATGATGAAATGTTTAGGATTCTGTGGCAAGTAAAGTTCCACCTCCTGTCATATCAACAAGATCACACAATTTCGCTATTCCTGATCGTCCCATCTTATCATCATCACATGAAACCGCTTCTGGCGCTATGAGAAGTGTTGCATTGCGAAAACCATTGATAGAATTACCTGTCTCAAAACTGAAGTCACCTACCGCCAGTAATCCATCAGATGATTTTCATCTGGCTTTTTCATCTGGTTCCCTGGCAAAGAAAGAGCTTGCAGCTAATGGCAGTGATAAAGGTGAAGATTTTCGTCTCAAGAACTTAGATTCTGTAAGTGTTATTATTATTACTATTATTATTCGGTTCTACTGCTTATAGTCTTTCGTTAACACTTGTGTATGTGGAAGTTACTGTTTTTTATCATTGCACCAAAATCTACATACCAGCTTTATTGTACATATGTGAGGAAAGCTAAGGATGACCAAATAAAGACATAGCACCAATGCAGAAAGCTTCCGACAGTTGATAAGAACGAGTTGTGTAGAGGAGTGTTTTTTCGGGAATGAGAGATTCATCAAACAAGCAGAATCAAATGGATGGAGACTTTTAGTGATATGACTCAAGGTTAATCGAAGTAGCGCACTTGTACCTTAACCTCTCTCTTCTTATTACTTTGCCTTATGGTTTTCTGTGACTTGCGACCAATTTGTTTTCAATTCATTGTCTTTTTTCTTGTTGTTTTTTCCCACCTTGATGATGTTATTCACTTTGAGGCATAATGATTCGAACCATTGTGCATCACTGACAGTTACTGTGTTGACATTGTGTATCTTTCGTCTGTACACGCATCTAATGCATCCACGAAAGATGATTAAGGAAACAGTAGAAGTTGATTGGTTCGAGTATATGACTCACACAACGCAAATGTACTTAACTATTTAAGTATTGTATCATTTGAACAAAAGATATGTTTTCAATCTCCATTTTAGTTCCACAAAGTGAAACAGTATAATTTACTGGATTACGTTTCGGTCCCAATTTACTATACATAGTTGTATTTAGATAACTCTGCAACTTATCTTGGTTGAGGACACATGAGTTTCGCAAACAAACAAACAAGAAGTAATATCAATTTTGTTAGCACGTAGAAAAGAAAAATTCACGGAATATTCCAGAGCGAGAGTTGAACAGAGAAAATCGAAGACAAATGTATTCTATACATTAGTGAACGTTACATAAAACAAATATGAAAAGATGAGGGGATTTCCACTGACTAGGAAAACAAGGTGTGTAGAATTCGGACAGTGAGATGACGGGAGTCAAATGGAATAACAATGATACGTAAGAAACATGATTATCGAAAACAGTTTTTTGTCATGTTAGGCACGGATAACTGTTTCTCTCTAAATACATAAGTTTGGGTTGAGTCGTTTAGTAAATATCATCTCAGCGAAACGCAACAAATTTAAGTTCACCTTTTTAGTTAAGTAGTTATTTCAAAGTATTTTTGGATATCAACCCATGTTCACTGTGAAGAAGGCGACGAGTGGAAGACTTCGACTTTTAGTTGCAGACTCCTTGGAGTATGCAGACATGCGCTTTGGTACGTAAATGTGAATTGGAGATGCGATTGATGACTTTCTCAGCTTCAAATTATCTCAGTGAGTGATTCGTCTGGTAAAGTCTGACCAACCTAGCAGTTGAATTGGTCCTTTTTACAGTACCTTAGTTAGTCCCCAGTTAAACATCACCTCTGAAGCCGAGATTTAGGAATGCAGGTTTTTCCTTCAATAACCACGTTTCGCACTTTCACTTGGTATTTTCATGTAGAATATGATGCAACGGAACCTAAAACCGTGGAATAATATAATCGAAGTTCTTGAAAAAGCTATGAAATTAAAAGGAAGAGAGATTGCAGTAAATAACGGAGAGGAGGAAAGTTGTAACTTTGTTTCTTACGGGGATAAACGTTACCTGATTAAAGTAGTACAGCTACAACTCCACCCCGACGTACGTTTGTGAGCTGCACTTATCGTGTGGGGTTTTATAATATAACTTGGTTGCATAAGTCAAAGTAGAGGGGGTAGGGTTTTAACCCGGCATCCACTGCTTGAGTCGAGTGCCTGATTCAGGAAGTCACATCTCATCATAATAGTAATAAAAGTCGTAATGATAACATTGATAATTCTGACAAAGGCTTCTCACCTAAAGTAAAGGATTTGATGGATAGAATTGGGTATGAACAAAGAAAAAATATATAGTTAGAAGTCATGACCAATGGAATTAGTCCCATTTTCAAGATGGGCTTAATGAAGTAGTTTGTCGGAGCTATTGTGACGAGTCCAGTTGCATGACGTTAATCGTCATGCGTTTAACAGAACGAAGTAGATGTGGGTGGGTGTATACTATAATAAATTGTTTGGGAGCTGGTATGTAAATATGCATTTTGGTGTCCAGTAATTAGGAAAAGATAGTATTTGATACGAATTTTGTGGCTGACTACCCTAGCTGACGATTGTGTAATTTGTCAAGTATAGCGCCAGTGTTCCCAGTCGTGCTAAACTGCTTTTTAAGGATTGCGAGTAAAATATGTCTGTCACTTTACTTACTTGGGGAGTTACATCAGCCCGCCGAACGGATTAGTTGCTGATAAAATCTCATTTGGGATACAGAAGGCCCGTTTGGTATATGCCACGCTGCACTACCTGGATACCGGCGAGATTTCCTACTATCTATCAGATGACGAGTATATTGCGCTGCAGTCCGTTCTGTCCTGTTTTACGACTGAGACACGACCACTGAAAGTAAAAGACATGAAGCGGTTTCAGGGTTTTGATCACAGGTGTCTTCGCAACGTTGCTCGCATATAGTGGAATCACCGCGTGGGCAATGTTTAGGTCAGGCGAAGGTTGCTAGACAGGACAGGTAAGTTGATTGATGAGGTTGTGAACCTTAGTCAACTGAAATGGCTTGGATATGTGTTCTGCATGCCGATTCACCACATACCTCAACGTGCCATGCTAGAGGAAGTTGGATGAGGGTTTAGAGTGGCCAGACCAAGACGTGGCACTAGTCGATGAAGTCCTTGGTTATTGGTCTGAGGCTTCAGTGGAGTTGTAGACTGCCCGGTTGGGGTCCTTAAGACGATAGGAATCAGTGGTTGAGGACTTGATGAAGTGGCGGAAAATTGGTCACAGTGGCGCATCTTGAAAGCTTGAATATTCGCACTGATCGTTGTGTTCAGATTGTTTATTCTCTCACAACTTTGTCTACTTTTATGTCACTCGTTTTCCATCCACCTGTCCTTTTTGTACTACTGTGAAGTGTAGCAACTTGAGCCGATGCATCTGTGTGCCAGATTCTACGCTGGTTTTGTCTGTTCGTCTGTCTGTTCAATGATTCAGCAGAGAATTGTTATTCGAAAATTACCATGGGTATTGGTAAAAGTATCAATGCTTAGAATAAGGTCACATTTACAGAAATATGCTAGTGATATACATCCCTATAAGTAGCGTTCATTGCAGTAGTCCAAATAGGAATGTTTAATGGTTTCTTTGCGTAACTACCTTTTAAAGTAGTTGTCTTCGTTAAAAGTCCTTCATGTACCAGTATATTCACGAGTGTTCATATTACAGTTGTCTACCGTTTACATTTTGATTGGCCAGCATACGAGACAATGGCTTACCAAGTCTCAGTTTCACCTTTGTTATCTAGTGAAACTTTGTATCATATTGTTGTGTAAAGAGAAGATATAGGTGGATATATTTCGATGAAACATTGGTTTTGAATTTTTGTTGAAATGTCTGCTGTTTTGCACCCAATGATAACAATCAAGCGTTGCATTCATGGAAATTAATGGAGATGAGGACCACGCTGTGTTTGATGTTGCAACTCGGTTGGTGAATCATAGGGCCAGTGAGGTGAATAATGTTGACTTGAATTTCGAGGCGACCAAGTTGTTTCCGGTCATTGTTTGTTTGAGTGGACCGGACCGTTCTACCAATTATTTCTATTTCATGTGTTTTAACCACGTGTGCATGTCAGTTTGAAAGCCTGACAGCTTTCGAACTACACATTGATCCCTTTGTAGTGGCGTTGTCAGGATTCATGTGATGGGTTTGAATATTAATGGAAGTACCACCACTCATTTAGGATATAGACATATCCAGCTGACAAATCAGTAATGAGATGAAAGGTGTATTCTGGAATCAGTGGTTGAGGACTTGATGAAGTGGCGGAAAATTGGTCACAGTGGCGCATCTTGAAAGCTTGAATATTCGCACTGATCGTTGTGTTCAGATTGTTTATTCTCTCACAACTTTGTCTACTTTTATGTCACTCGTTTTCCATCCACCTGTCCTTTTTGTACTACTGTGAAGTGTAGCAACTTGAGCCGATGCATCTGTGTGCCAGATTCTACGCTGATTTTGTCAGTCAATTAATCATAATTAGGATATCTTGCATATACTGAGAAGTGATACAGGTTGAAATCCTACTTCATAGATTCTACTTTAGGGAGCTAATCCTTTCTAAAGTATCGGTGTAGTTTATCACGAAGTAAGGAAACATGTTATTGTTTACTGCCCAAATCCTATTCGTCGGTTGGTCACGTGAATCTTTCGGGTTCTCGGGTATTTTGCGAAGCTACTAATTTCGTAGGGTTTGTGTTTCACGGAATAATGTGTTCTATAGAGTGTTCGCGAAGGAAGAATGTTCTAAGTTTTCGCTGAGGAAGCGAATTCTGGATGTGATAGCGAGGTTGAATTTTTTTGTTTGCTTTTGTTAAGGTATTCTCGGGACATGCAGTTTTATGCTGCCGATATTCAGTTTATTCGGTTAATGCAAATCTGAAGATTGTTTGGAGTAGTAGTAATTATCTTTGTTGTCAGACTGAAACATTTCAGTTGTTATGAACGCAATCGCTAATCAAACATTGAACACTTCTTGTCCTATCCATTCCAAGATACTTACTTGCCTCAACACCAACTGCTCTTAAACTTCGTCATTCTGTATAGCTTCACGTTTGGAAAGTAACGGCTGTTTCTGAGTCAGAGTTACGTACAACCAGTAGGCGTTACGGAGTATGTTAATTATTCTTGATTATCTATCCGTAAAATCCAGATAATGACTGGATGGTCGGTTCCTTAAGTTTGATAAAGTGCCAAAAGATGTGACCAGTTACTTTCAATGTGAAGCTATCCTAAGAGTTGGGCTGTTCTACCAACCGTTGGATCACACATCCAACTGGCACTTCACTTGCTGCACGGTAGTAGCGTATTCGGTTGTTCATTAAATAGCTTCACAGTTTTCTGTTTCATTTTATTGCGCAAGTCGTTTTGGGATTTAGATCCTTTAGTAATTTTTAATGTCATTTTCGCAACAAGAGGTTTGTCAACAAGTCATCATACTTAATACTTTGAGTGTCCATTCCCTATCCGCCGGTTAACTTGCAATTGTTTCTACGTTTTGTAATGTTTTCAACTATTGAAGATATTGGGTTCAGAGTTTAGTTTGGTTGTTACGTCTACTGCGACTCCGATGTATTTCGGTGTTATTTATTCTCAGACCATCATTTCCTTCGGAATTTGATCACATTGATCATCTCGAGAATGTGTTAGATGAGTAAACCATCATTGTGCCGTGAAATGTTTGTCCGTTTCCACTTTTTGACTGGAAGTTTTCACTTTTCAGTATTTTATCCTTTATCATTGTTTCTCTGATTTATTCTTATTTTAATCGAAATTGATGCCGCATTCTCAAATAACTGGAAGCAAGCAATTCGACGAGTGAAGAGCATAATTTCATCATTATTCTTTTTATCTGTGATACACAATTAGACAGTTTTATTTACTGATGACGTGTATTGAGCCGAACTATATCAAGGTTATGGTAATGTAGTGGGCGTTGTTGATAAGAATGGATATAAGTAGTACATGCTGAGAGGGTGGCAGGAATCATAGGGAATTACCAGCAGTGGGTAAGGATTCTGCCAAAAGCAACGCAAGGGATAACGCAGGCGTACTAAAGTGGATGCTGCTGATAAGAATGTATGAGGAGCAAATCAAGAGAAAAACAGAAGACGAAACGAAGCACATTTTGCAAATAACGGCTTTAGTGCAAGGTGTACCATATGTAACGACTACCGTTTCGATTGTTGATAATAAACATTCTTTCCGTCGTGTCTTTCTTCTGTCTTTTCAATTGGTGTCGCGGCCTCTGGACGTGATGAAGATTCCGTGCTCAAGGATGAAGACATCAAGGTCTCCCTCAGGAACTTCGAGTCGGTCGCAGAGCTGATGGGGGTCCGAGATCCAGGGACAAATGTTGTGGTGCTGGGCACGTTGTGGAGGAGTAGAGCGAAAGCAGCATATGACGGCGTGGAACGTGGTGATGAGAAGGAGACTTAATGGAGAATGGTTGAACGCCTGGAGGCGGAGTTCGACAGCCCAGCGGACAGGGAGCTGGCGATGCAGCAGTTCCAGAGCACGAAACTGAGAATAGACGAAAATTCGTTGGTGTTGGCTGTGAAGTTAACCAAGCTACTTCGACGAGCACTTCCCACGTTGGATGAGGACTCCCAACAACAGTTGCTGGCTGCACAGTTCACCGAAAGTGTCCGAATGACATCGCCTAGCAGTTACGACTAGTCAACGCAGCCCAACCCATGGACATCAGTAAGATGGCCAAGGTGACCAGACGGCTAATGGGTACCGAAGTAGCGGCAGTGGAGTCACCAGAGGTAAATAACTGGCAAGAACAAATCGACAACCTTCAGAAAGAGGTAGCTGCACTTCGAATCAACATCAGCAGACAGGGTAAATGCTTTGCATGTGGGAAACCTAGACACTGGCGAAGAAATTGTCCGGAGAGGCGAAAAAGAAAACGTTTTGAACGATATAATATGAGTTTTGTTTTTCCAACTAGACTAGATATTGTAGAAGCCATAGATCGAGGCGCGGTGTATGCTAGAATGCGAATAAATGATGGGGAGATCGTGTGTCTCATAGATACAGGGGCGGCAGTCTCGCTAATAGATAAGAGGCAGTCTCAGAACGCAAGACTATGTGCGCTAACGGTCCATATAGTTGGGGGATATGAACCAGATATCGCAGGCTTATCAGATTGCATCATTGAGATCGAAAGCGAGAAAATTAAGTTCTCATTTATTGTGACCACGCGTCTACAACAACCAATCCTATGTGCTCATTTTCTCAGAGAAATGGGCGCAGTTATGAACACAAGAACAGGAATAGTGGTGACGAAGTACGGGTTGTTCACCACTCAGGAAAACAGCAAGGTAGCAGAGATTGAAGTATCAAAAGCACCATACCCAGGAGCACCAAAAATCATGAAGGTGGTTAAGAAGTACGACAATTGCTTATGGGAGATAGAGACCCCTATGATTACTGTGACACAAGGTTCAGCATGACGTCCCATTGACCAGTCAGGCAATGACACTACTTATCACACGGCGAATACAATGTCACTTAGAAGAAGAAGTTGGGCGCCAAATCCAGGAAATGCTAGATGAAGGCATTATTGAAGAGGCTGATAGCCCTTACAGTTTTCCAGTGCTTTTAGTAAGAAAGTAAAATGGGAAATATAGATTCTGTGTTGATTTCCGGGAGTTAAATAGCATAACGCAACTGAAGCCATGTGCCATGCCGACGATAGCTGAAAAACTGGATCGCTTGCAGGATGCAAAAGTATTTGCAGTTCTGGACCTCCGCTCAGGCTACTGACAGCTACCAATAAAAGAAAGGGATAAAGAGAAAGCAGCATTTATTGTAGACAACGCCCACTACAGTAAGAGTATGAACAATAAATTCCATATGAAATCACGTTGTACCAGGGTTCTTAAATTTTATTCTCATATTACATGGAGAGTAGTTCTGAGGGCTCGTATTTCTTCATGAAGATGATTCGTCATCTATGTGACTGTTTGAATGTTTTAACTTCAGGACTTCAGTTTTCTACAATACGAACCTTTGGCAGAGAGTACATCTCAGATACCGCAGGACGTACTGCGTGTTGTTCATGCCTGTATAAAGGAATCCAGCGCTTATCGTCGACCTGAAATGGTTAATCATCCTACCACTGTGCAGCCGCTGAATAAGAAAGATGATATATCTCCGTACTCAAAAGCTGCTAATCCATCACCCTGGCAGGTTCCGATATGTGAACCCTCGAGACAGGTAAAATGTATCACTATTTTTGTCTTTCTGTTAATGTTTCTTAGAAAAATGATAACGTTAACGTCTAGTTTTTGTACCTCATAATTTTGTTCAGCTTATTTTATTTAACTGAGTGTCCTTGTGGTGCCCGACTATCATGTGAACAAAAGACACCTATTTTTATTTCACACCTATTGTTGAGTTGAATTCAGTTCTCTGAAGAAGTAACTGAAACCGGTTTTAAGTCTTCTGTTCACATAACATTGAAGCGTGACACTCGATGAATCAGGTGAGCTTGATATTTAGCAAAGACTGCACAACTCCAAAACAAATCAGGGATTCAGCTTCATTCACCTAGTGAATCTGTCTGAATCATTTTGATTTCACTCAGAAGAAGGCGAATGGTGTGGGAGGGCATAAGACCAGAGTATTTGAAGTTAGTAGGAAAACATAAATTTCCCCCTGTGATCCGTCACGTGTCAACATCTTTTTTCAGATCCTGTAACCAATAGCACTTAACATTTCACTGATCGTCTACACTAAGACTAACAGTCATACAAAACGTGTTGACTGGATGACATATTTTGGCTCTGGTCACTGCCACACGTTCACCACACTTTGTGTACTCCAACCAACATTGTACCCCATCAGCATTACTTTATTGCATAAACACGCGAGCCATTGAAGTACAATTATTATTATTTGTCCCTTGGGTTCCTAATGGAACATAGGGCTACAGTAGCACGTCTCCAATGCACTCTGTTCGCTGCAATCTTTCGAACCTGGCTCCACGACAGCCCACAAGCTCTCATTTCCTCCTAGCACGATCTCCTCCATGTCACCCTCGGACGCCCAATTCGTCGCTCCCCATGGGGGTTCCACTCGAGTGCCTGGCATGACGCGTGATGTCCCCAGTCGGCCTTCTCAGTGTATGCCCAATCCATCTCCACTTCCTTCTGCATATTTGTTCAGCGATAGGTTCTTGGTTGGTTCGTTCCCAGTCAGAGTTCCTTGTTGCTTATTCTTATTATTCTGGCTATCTGATCTTCAGTATTGAGCCAGCGTAGGGGGCAGTTGTTGATGAATGTCTGTAGTTTATTGGAAATCCCTTTCGTCTCTGAACCATACAGAAGCACTGACTTGACGTTGGTGTTGAAAGTCCGGATCTCGTTCCACATGCTGAGTGCAGAAGATCTCCACACTGGTTTCAGGCTAATGAACGCCTCTCTTGCTTTTCCGATTCTGACTTTGACGTGTTCGTCGGTGCTTCCTGTAGTTGAAACAGTGCTTCCTAGATAGGTGAAAGAGGCTACTTCCTTTGAGTTTCTCTCGATGATGGTGATTGGAGCTTGTTGTTACTGTTGGTGATGTTAGTTGGATATCTTCATAACCTCTGTCTTCTCTATATTCACTCGAAGTCCCGTCTTCGCTGCCCTGCCTCTTCTGCCAACTTGTTAGTTTTCGCCTGTAGATCTTCCAGTTTGTGTGACATCAAACACAAGTCATCGGCGAAATCTAAGTCTTCTAGGTTCTTTTCCGCGGTCCAGCGTATCCCCCTCTTCTCGCTCCCCACTGTTTGCTGCATGATCCAGTCCAGTCCACCACAATCAGGAATATCATGGGGGATAGTAGGCAACCTTGTTTCACCCCTGTCTTCACTTCAAAAGCATCACTGAACTTCCCGTTGTGAATTACTCGGCATGTGGCGTCTTCATATAGTTGTTGAATGAGATTGATAAAGGTTTGCGGTATTCCGTAGTGTTGAAGCAGTTTCCAAATAACCTCTCGGTCGACGCTGTCAAAGGCCTTTTCAAAGTGGATGAAGTTGAGGTAGAGTTAAGTTGACTGCCATTCTATACTCTGTTCTATGATGATGCAAAGCGTTGCAATTTGGTCCGCACATGATTTGTACTTCCTGAAGCCAGCCTGTTCCGGTCGTAGTTTTGAATCCAGTGCATCCTTTAGTCTCTTCAGGATGATGTGACTTAATATTTTGCTTGGAGTGACAGGGACGGAATCGTGATTCCTCACCAGTTCTTGCAAACACTGAGGTCTCCCTTCTTCGAGAGTTTGACAAGGTAGCCCTTCTTCCAGTCAGTGAGCAAGTACCTTCCCTTCCTTCCAGACCTTCTGCAATAGTGGTGTAAGCATATCCTCTGTTGTCTCTGCGTCTGTTTTCAGTGTTTCTGGCGGGATTCCATCTGCTGCTTCCCCTCATTTTAGTAGCTTTATGGCGCTCAGGACTACCGCTTTTGTTGGAGGATTTATGTTCACTTATAGTTCTGTGTCTGGGCTGCAGGTGGTATTTCTGGACGAAGTGCAGGTGGTGGTGGTCAAGTCAAGAGCTGCTTGAAGTGGTCGGCACATCGTTCCCTTTGTTTCTCCTCTTTGGTAATTAAATTTCCTTCATCATCTGCGTTGATCTCTTCCCAGATAGTAACTTGGTTATTTGATACAATGTTGTCAGGTCTCTCCTACATACAACCTGTTCTGCTTCACTTGCCAGTGTTTCGTAGAAGTGTCTTGTCTTTGCGTGCACTCTTCTTCACTTCTTAGTCCAGTATAGTGTCTTATACGTTGCACTCAGTTCCTCTTCTCGTTGTGCATCCTTGCACTGGTTCATCTTCTCCTTCACCATCCTCACGTCCATCAGCTTCTTCAAGGATGTTGCTCGATATCTCACATTTTGTCTTGATGCTGCCGTGAAGATTTTCTTTGTAGTTTCGTCCTTCAGTTTCCGAGTGTTGTACTTGAACTGCAATTTGTTCCGCACATGATTTGTACTTCCTGAAGCCTACCTGTTCCGGTCGTAGTTTTGAATCCATCGCATCTCCAGGATGATGCGGCTCAATATTTTGCTTGTTGCGGGTAGACAGGAGCATGATTCAACGCCAGTTCTTGCAAACACTTAGGTCACCCTTGTTCGGGAGTTTGACAAAGTAGCCCTTCTTCCACTCGGCAGGTACCTTTCCTTCCCTCATTCCTTCCAAACTCTGCAATAGTAGTGTGAGCATGTCCGCTGTCGTCTCAGTGTCTGTTTCCAATGTTTCTGGTGGAATTCCATCTGGTCCTGGTGCTTTCCCGGATTTCAGTAACTTTATGATGTTCAGGACTTCTGGTTTTGTCAGAGGGTTTGTTTTCACTGATAGTTTTGTGACTGGGCTGCTGGGTTGTATTTGCGGACGAGTTCCAGGTGGTGGTTGATTCAAGAGTGTTTTGAAGTGGTCAGCCCATCGTTTTCTTTGTTCCTCCCCTTTGGTAACTAAGTTTCCTTCACTTTCATCTTTCGTTGGTTTCATTTGTGTTGATCTCTTCCCAGATAGTGAGTAGCCTGGTTATTTGATGTAATGTTGTCAGGTGTCTGTCACTGCTACCGGCAGCCTGTTCTACTTCGCTTCCCAATGTGTCGTAGAAGTGTCTTTTGTCTTTGCACGCAGTCTTCCTTACTTCTTTGTCCAATGTAGTGTTTTATAGATTGTGTTCAGTCCCTCTTTCCATCGTTTATCCCTGCACTGCACTGGTTTATCTTCTTCTTCACCATCCTCCTCTCCTCTATCAGCTTCTGTGTGTCCATGGAGATGCATTCCTTATTTTCTTTCTCCTTCCTTCCTAACACGGTTGTGCAGGTTTCTTTCCATATAGTTTTCAAAGAGTTCCAGTGGTCATCCACACGGTTTCTTCAGGGATATTTCTCGATATCTCACATTTTGTGTTGATGACTGCCGTGAAGATTTTCTTTGTAGTTTCGTCCTTCAGTTTCCGAGTGTTGAACTCGTCAACTCAGACATTGCTTTCAAGATAATCAATACTAAAAGAAACAGTAGATTTCTATGTTATGCAGAAGCAACAGTAATCTGTCGACTGAAACTATACTTATGAGTACAAAAGGATTTTGTGGTTCACTTTGCATTGTCTTGGCGAGTTGTTTTATTCCGACAGCTTTACTTAATATTTTATCCTTTCATCTTATTGTCTTACATATTATTCACAAATATTATTCATATTTCCATCATTTCCGACTCACTTTAATCCATTATATTCTAATCATGGTTGTTAGCACATCCACTTCCATTAATCCACACACTTTGAAAACCATATTTGTTATTCTCCCTCTTTTATCCAAATTCCCACCACTTTGAACTTGCACTAGGTAGTGGTCTGAGCCTACATCTGCTCCTCTTCTTGATCTTATGTTCCGTAGACTGCGTCTCCACTTTCTTGATATTGAGATGAAGTCGGTCTGATTTTTAGTGTGTCCTGGTATCTGATGAAATCCATGTTGCTTTGTGAATATCCTTGTGTTTGTACACACTGCCTCGAATCACCAAATCGTTGAGTGCGCAGAAGTCTGCAAACAGTTCTCCATTCGCATTCATTTCACCGAGTGCTTCTCGACCCATGATGAGTTCTCTTTTTGTGTTGTCTGCACCCAGTTTGGTATTCATGTCACCCATCAGAATGAATTTTGATGTCGTCAACTGGAGTCTTGTCGAGTGTTGATTGAAGTTGTCTATAGAATTCCTCCTTCCTCTCTTCATCTGCATTATTTGTAGGTGCGTAGTATTGGCATTGTATGATTGTCTCTTGTTTCTTTTTGAGTTGAATCTTGCTGTCATGATCCTACAGGAGGAGATTGGTTCCCACTGAATGAGAGCCTTTGATGCTCTTGGGAGTGGGACATTATGATAGCCACTCCGAAACTCAGTGTGCTCATGGTTGTCGTCTGGGTGACAATGTCGGAGTAGATTATTGACTCCTCTCCAGTTGACAGTTTGGAGAGTCCACTTCCATCCCATCTGCTTATCCCTCGCAGATTTGAAGCACTTTCATGCTATACCTTCTGATGTCTTTTGCAATGAGGGTAGCTTTGCTAGGTTCATACATGGTGCGGACATTCCATGTCCCCATGTTTACTTTCGCTTTCATCGAGAGAAGAGAAGATGCGTTGGCCAATTGGGCTTCCCGAAGTCTTTCACCAACCGACTTCATTTCTTCTCTCCTATCCCAGAGAGGAATAAGTTTGTTTTTATATTTTGTTTGTGTTTAGAAGTTTCTTTCGCGGTTAGGTTTGTTTTCCGGGGTAGGGTTGCTATCCCCTATGCCCCACCTTCCTTCTTTACCCGGGCTTAGAACCGGCTAGTAAAGAGTGAACTAGTTAACCAGGCGAAGTTAATTGAAAGACACTCATACTAAGGTAAATAGCGATTAAAAAGATGCAAGCATTAAGTAGTGACTTTTTGATGCTAAAAGTTATAGAACAGTGGAACAAGTATTGTTTGTTAATCTTGTCTATGGACCTGGCTATCAAGTTCCTGTGTTCAGTAATTCATTCAAATATGGCGAATTGTTCCCGCTTTAGTCGGATTTCCTTTTTTCAAGACGGAATAGTCTCCATTACCGTTTTGTGACAAATCATTTTCGTGTACACTAAGCACCTAATCGTACTCCTTGGACTTGTAGACTGGAAATTAGCTGTGAATCATCGACTCGTGCACTCTGTTTTATTAGAAAACGGATTAAGTGGTACAACTGATGATGACATTGGTGAGTACATTCAAGCGGGGCATGTCTTCGCATTGTCAATCTCATGAGTTATATACGAAGGTTGTTATCGTAGCCTTTTCTGGCTACACACGTTTCACCTTACTTACTGTTTTATGCTTGGATTACTTCCTACACTAGAAACTATCCTCTGATCTACTCATCAATACACCGGTTGCTAATCCGAAAGAACCATAATTTCAAATTCCACGGATCAAAGAAAACGAGGTGAACCTTTCAACGCTCCTATGAGTAGAGACAATCGGAGAAATCCGCCAGCTCCTGCACCAATTAAGAAGAAGTTTACAACTGTTACACCTCCTGAGTGCAATACCTCTTAATAAACTTCTGTTTGAACTAATTATTGCTGTACATATTAAGTTCCTGTCATTGCAGTTCAGTGTGAATATTCATGAAATTGAAAAGAGGAGTTTTAGTGGAAAAAATGTCATCAATATATTCAATTTACAAATTTATTCCAATTAAGTTAACTATTCGTTCTTAACGGTGTTTAACTAAAGGTAAGGAGGTATTCTCGCTACTGTTCTGTAGAATAGTTTAAACCACAGACAAACAAAAATGGTGTTAAGATTGAAAAATAGTATTTGGCAGTTTGATAGGTTCAATGGAAATATCTGCTTGCTTCACTGCTTCTCGTAAATCGCAACCAAGCGTAGACCTGTAAAAGCAGAAAGAATGTTATCTTCGTGTTCACTTTTCTAAAAAGCCCACAAAATGTGATGTATATTGCAGAAGTATACGCGTGAAGCAATAAAAGGATATAGTAGACGAAATGTGCGAACGTTGGTTTAATAACCAGACCGATAGCTGCTACCTTAACGTGGTGGTCGGGCCTGCATATCACGATGAGCCAGCGAGCGATGTAGGTGGAACACCTCCCTCGAGGTCCTACCATACCAGAAAGGTCTGTTGATAGTGGTTAGACGAAAAGCAGTTACAGTTGTGGTGAAAATTACTACACCATGATGAGGGTCTGAGGGCCGGATAGGGTGACAGCAGTGCCATGCTACCCTTCTCAGCGGAAGGAGGAGTTAAAAAGGTCGGCCCCAAAAATAACACACGGCACCATACCCCACGGTCTGCCGGACCGATGGTTTTGGTTAACTGGTCATTTTTTTCGACCAAACGGCCCCAAAACAACTATACACAAAAGGATGGGTGCTGTAGACCTCCGATAAGCTATGCATTAACATAAATCTCTCTTAAGAAGAGATAGCCTTCCACCGTATGAGCAGTCGGGAAGTGTCAACAGTCCTCACAACTCGATCAGCACTCCAGTTTCCCCCTGGCTGCTATCCACCTTCCCCATCATCACCTAATCGCCATTTTACTCTCTTCTCTGCAGTCTTTTGGGCCTAGCTCCATGACTGCCCATAAGATTTCATTTCCTCACATGATCTCCCGCATGTCACCCTCAAATGCCCAACTCGTCATTTCCCATGCAGGTTCCACTCGAGGGCCTGGCGCGTGATGTCCCCGAACCGTCTTCTCAGTGCATGTCCCGTCCAATCCATCTCCACTTACTTCTGCATATTTGTTGGATGATAGGTTGTTGGTTGGGTGGCTACCAGGCTAGAGAGTTCCTTGTTGCTTATTCTTTCTAGTCATCTGATTCTCAGTGTCAGTATCGAGTGAGCGTAGACGGCAGCTGTTGATGTATGTCTGTAGTTTGTTGGAAATGCTTTTCGTAACACGCCAAGTCTCTCAACCATCACATAGAAGTACTGACTTACTTGACTGAATTAGTATTGAAAATCCGGATCTTGTTGACGCTTTCTGCTGAGTGCAGTGCAGTGCAGTGGATCTCCACACCGATTTCAGATTAATGAAGGCCCGTCTTTCCGATGCTGGCTGCCTTGACATCCTCATCTATGCCTGTGCCCATCTTTTCGCTCCCTACAGTTTGTTACATGATCTAGTCTAGTCGACCACAATCAGAAAGATCATCGATGATAGTAGGCAACGTTGTCTTACTCCTGTCTTACCTTAAAAGGGGTCATTGAGCTTTCTGCTGTGAATCACTTGGCATGCGGCGTTTTCATATAGCGATGAAATAAGGTTGATAAAGGTTTGTGGCACTTAAACCGTGTTGAAGCAACTGCCAAATTGCTTCTCGGTCGACGCTGTAAGGGCCTTTTCAAATTCGATGAAGCTGAGGTAAAGAGTTGACTGCCATTCTATGTTCTGTTCTATGATGCCAACTGTGCTCAGCTAATTGCCTATTTTTAACTAGCACAATTGTCAGATACAAGGAAAGACACTTTCTGACATGGCGTCCACCGAACTCAACTCAGCGATGAACACAGATAGACTACGTCGATATCAGTCATCGCTGGAGAGGATCGAATGAAGACAGCCGCTCCTTCTGGAGTACGTGTTTGGATAGCGACCACGCGTTGGTCCGAGAGCCTTAATGCCTGCGTCTCAATGGACGTAAGGAAAACTTAGCAACAAAGCCACTACGAGTGCTGCTGAACAACGACAACACCAAAGCCGCTTTCGGTGAGAATTTGGGTAGGCAGTTGTCGGGGCATAAGACTAACTCATCCAGAAGGAGCTTAATGTCATCTCCAGTCTGCTGTAGAAGCAGCGCCGAAGACCGTCGCCGGCTCCGAAAGAGCGGTTAAAATGTGCTGGTGGATATCAGCAGCTTCTTCCAAACTAATTGATGTACGTGAGTGCATCTCTGCAGGCTCTGAGTACAATGAAGAGCGAGCGTAACTTGAAAGTGGATTGTGAAGTCTGCACAACGACCGCGAACAGTGGTGGGCAGCGAAGGCTAAAGAGACGAAAAAGGCAGCGGCAATTGGTAACAGTAGAGTTATTTAGAGTTATCAAGGAAACTAGGGGGGAAGATGAGACTGTAGCGGGGAAGGACGGGTCTGCGATTCACTCGCAGAGGAGACGACTGGAACGATGGACAGAACATTTCGAGGATCAGTTTAACCGGCTTTAAGCCACCATTGCGTACCCGTTATCCATTCGGATCCTGAATGGAACATTGAGATAGGCCTCCCAACACCAGAACTTGGGAAAGCGGTAGGTTATTTGAAACGAGGAAGGGCAGCAGGACCAGACAGGCTAACTCTTAAAGTATACAGGGGTGGCAGTAAAGTGCTCTTAGGTTAACTGAAGTGTTAACTGGTATATAAGAATCAAATACGATCCCCTCTGACTGACCTAAACCACTGGTTATCCCAGTCTTCAAGAAAAGTGAGAAGTCCTCTTGCGATAACCACAGAGGAATCATTGGAGCTCGGGAACAGCAAGCCCGAGAAAACCGGGCAGGCTTTAGACTCGGTCGTGGATGTATCGACCAAATATTTACACTGCGCCAGATCCTGGTGCATACACACGCTTACCGATGCCCGACGATAGTTGTATTTCTCGACCTGAAGGCGGCATTCCGTTGATCGAGAAGTCTTATGGTAATGTCTCTCACTGGAAAGCGTGCTGAGAAAGCACATCATCTTATTGAAGGCTCTCTACTCGAACACTCGTGGGCGTGTTAGACACTATGGTGAGATGTTCAGTAAGCCAAACTCGTCGAGTGGTGTCCTTCAAGGCTGCCCAATATTTCCACTCTTATTCAATTTTACAGATATTCTTATGGAGGTCTCCCTCTCGTCACCTGATTACACAATCGGTGGAGAATTTTTCGTCATACCTAGAATACGCAGATCACATAGTCCTATTGGTGGAGTCAATGACAAGATGCAGAGCCTTCTGGACACTTTGAGTGGCAGTTTGAGCGTGTTTGGGATGCGGTTCTCACCACCCAAGTGCAAATTGCTGCTCCAGGATTGGTCTCCAACGGTGCCTCACCGCGACTAACAATAGAGAGTGTAGTGGTTGATTGTGTCAACCATTTCACTTACCTGGGAAGTAGGATCAGCCCTACCCTGATGGATCAGTGGTCGATGAAATCTCTGCACAGATACAAAAGACTCTGCTGGGTTTCGCCAACCCCCGCCACCTATGGCGCCGCCGTGATATCTTCTATTGAGCGTCGCGTGTACTGCACAGCAGTCCGGTCTGTTCCACTGCATTGCTGTGAAACATGGCCATTGAAGGTGGAAGACATGAGAAGGCTTCAGGTGTTTGATCACAAATGCCTTCGTAGTATAGTTCGCCGTATTCCGTGGTGTCACCATGTGAGTAACACAGACGTCAGGTGTAGAGTTTTAGGGAGTTGAGATAAATCGGTTGACGAGGTTATGAACCTTCATCGACTGAGATGGTTGGCTCCGACATGTGTTACGTATGGCTAGTCGCCGATTGCCTCGTCACACAATGTTGGCCGAAGCAGGTTGAGGCTGGAGAAAGGCCTGAGGTGGCCAGACTAAAACATGGCATCAATGTATGAAGCCTCTGACTCCATATTAGATTTGTTTATTTGATTTATAACACACGGTGATCTAGTATTATTTACTTGATGACGTTTCGGGCATAAATTACTCCTCGTAGTCATATCAATGTAATCACACTACTTTCGACATTTGATTTTCATAGTTACGTCACTTTATATGAGTAGAAAAAGTTTTTCATCTCTGGTATAGGTGTTGCGTCATTTCTAGTACGTGTTGAGTGTTGATTCGATGAACAAAGATTCAGTAACCAATTTCTCTCCACCTAATTTTATTGGACTAAAGTACAGTGGCTTTATCCCAACCTATTGTGTAGTTGTGTGTTGATGCATGCATAGCAACAGCCGATTTTTTTCTAGATCAGTGATCTTATTCAGGTTTGTTATTCTATATTTGGCTAAATTCCTATGTTCAGCTATTCTAATCGACCCCGACCGACTAGTTTGACCTATATACTTGACCTTATAGTCATTAGATGGTATTTGACAGATTATATTATTTTGCTTAATTGGTTCTATCGGATCCTTAAGCCAGCCGACAAAGTTTATCTCTGAGTGAGTTTGTAGGTTTAAGTGCCACCCTAATTCCAGCTCTGTTGAGGATTCTACTTAAAGTTTCTGAGGTTCCCTCCTTATAGGATAATACAATGGAGGCTGTGAATTCCTTTTCACTCGTGTGACTGTTATTTTCTCGTTTATTGTGTGTCCGTTAGAATTCCTTTATAAACTGCGGAGGATAATTATTAACTATTGGCGCTTTTTTTACGTGTTTCAATTCCTTGTTTAGGTTCTTGCTCTGAGTAGTCAGTATTCTAGCTCTATCATTTAGACATTTGACTAATTCTGCCTCAACTGACATTGGATGGGACGATTTGAAGTCTAGATACCTGATGGAATGTGTTGGTTTTCTGTAGACAATAGTATCCAAGCCAACATCTGCCCTTCGTTTTATTCTGCAATCCAACATAGGTATTTCTCCTTGTTCATTTTCTACCTCGTAAGTGAATTGGATTGCGTTTACTACTGAGTTTATATGCATGGGGAAATTGTCGATATGTTCCAATTTCAACACAGTAAATGTGTCATCCACATATCGCCACCATATTTTTGGCGTAGGACTAAACGTTTGTAAAGCCATGTTTTCCCAATTTCTACCACAGTGCCCAAGTTTTACAACTATATTAATGAAGTCTATGTCTGTTGGTTTGAGTCATGTGGGGCGATGCAGACTAGCCAGTTGGGGTCCGCAGGACAAGAGGAACCAGTGGTTTCAGATTCTAGGTGATATTGCTCAGAACCGATGTCATTGGCGCAAATGTATACACACATTATCGTCATCTTAACGACGCTATGCCAAATCTCACCATTTTCTCACCTTTCATACTTTATATTTCTTTTGACTGAATTTTTTTTGTTTATCTTCGACTTCACTACCTTTTTACTTTAGGTACTGATACGAGTTGTTGCAACTCGAACCGTTACGCAGTAATGCCTGGTCCTATGTTGATGATGGTTTAATAACGACTTTACCTGTGTTTTTTACTCCCACGCATTCTATACACGAACACACGCCTGGGCTATCATTGTAGAAAGTTGTAACACAAGTACAGCTGAGTGATATCACCTTAAACGAACATCAATACAACTTGGAAAACCAACATAAACTGGGCATATCGTTAACTGTAGTAGTCGAAACATGGAATCAGTTGTGTGCAAACATTATTCTAAAGGATTAAGACACTGTAGTACGTGAAGCTGATGTAGGAAAGTACTTCATTCTTGTTTATCAGGAAAACGATTATTCACACGGTTTCATCAAATGTTTGTCGAATTCGTCTTAGAATGTATCTGGATGCCTATTCGTAGTCTGTTTCTGTGCACCCACCGACTGCACCTCGGATGATACGCAAGATGAGTTCCACCAATGGCATTTGCCAGCTTACTCCATTTCTGTCACCAGCGAGATAACCGACTCTATTAAAGAATGAGTTGTAGTGCACATTGTTTTATCATGCAAGTAAAAAGAGGTCATAGGAGGTATATGATATAAAGGGTCTGTAGGCTTTTGGTCACAGGTATCTTCAGAATGTTGCTCGTGTGTGATGGAATTACCCTAAGAGCAATGGAGATTTTGGTTGTAGCGTGATGGGTAAAGAATGCATGTCAACCGATAAAACTGTTGGTGTTCAACAACCGAGTTAGTTCGGACGTGTATTTCGCGTGTTGGACAACCACTCACCGTGACGTGCAATGCTAGTCAAAGTAGCATTGCGCTGAGATACGGCTGAGGGTATTCAAGTCAGGACGCAGTACCAGCCAATGACTGTTGATCTGAGCTGGGGATGTAAACTAATTGGCTGGGGTACTGAATACTACAAGAATCAGCGTCTGCTGATAAGAGTGAAAATGGGTCACATTTTCGCAAATGTATGTAGTTTAGCATCGTTAGAGTCTTCTCATGCACGTCTGTATACTTCAATTGTTTTTCATCTAATTCCTTCTTAGACGCTGCTGTGAAGTGCGGCAACTTGAACTGATGCACATGTGTGTGTGAGGGGTTTTACATTTATTTATCCACCTGATTGTAACTAAATTACTAGCGATTTCGGAAATCACTGTAGCACGCAAAACTACAAAAATTGTTGGCTACATGTTATGCAAACCGAAAAACAATGGTAAAGAAAGGAAAACCGGACGTTAGATAAAAATTAAACTGAAAGACTACAGATTGAATGACTGTTCTCTTCGAATTTGCTTGCGCGAACATCAGCTAGCGGTGAAGCGCCACGATATATCAAAGTTCATACCAATGGATGCAGACAACTATGCACATGAATTCATTTGGAAAGATGCAGAAATCTTGGATAGAGGGTATACAAAGTATTTTGTCCTTCATTAACCTGAAGTATGCTAGCAATTTTATTTCTTACTGATTTTCGATACATTCTACACTGTTTCTAGGCGCAAACACACCATGATGTCAAACTATTCACTTTATTCTGTAGGTTTTTCTCGTTCTAGCTGTGTAGTATTCACTGAAGACCGTAAATGTTTAAGTGGGCACTTAAGTTAATAATAAATTCTGTGTAAACAAACATTCGTTACAACTCAGAGATTTTTCGGGAATCAACTATTTTCTGTGCTAATAACGCAAAATAAACAGTGATGAAACAAACCTTGGAACAAAATCGACCGAAGAAATATTTTCCGTGATGCGAGAAGACTTTCCTTTTTGAAGTAAGTATCCGTTCCTGTGATAGTGGTGATGAAAAGCACATAAAAACAAAGCTTACAACACAGTGATAAAAAATGCGTCGCATAATCCGTAGTATGCTACAAAACTAAACACACTAATAAATTATATTCATACCTTTTACGACTGTTATAACTTATTTGTAATCATGGTGATTCGGTGCTACTAGTCCTTTATCATATACGTGGTCAGATGATAGATGAACACTATGTGATCACTAATCCAATACGATTTAAGCATCTTTTTAAACAGTATTCTGATTTCAGGTTTTCGATACTAATCAACAGGGACCGTGTATCACTGAATGCTTCTATTTTCTAACCCAAACAGAACAGGTCCTATTGATATTGCATGAAACTGCCGAATATTACAAAAGCCAATTCACTGTTCATTCCTTCAGTGCAGTGAAGGATGGATAAACATTGATTGAACACAACTTCCATTAGTTTCAAATTTACGGAATGGAAGCTCTCTCCCTTCCTATATATATAAATACTGTCAACTGCTTTCTTGTTCACACCATATGGCATGTTCCCTTTGTATTCCCTTTTTATATCCTCAGTTTCATACTACTTAGTACTTTTGAGTAGTATAACTCCTTTTTACATCATTTACATCCTTGATTGCTGATTCGGTTTAATCGTATCTTGTACACTAATTAATATCCGTTGATATCAACATCTTGCATAGTTCATGATGGTGTTTTAATTCCTTTCGTTGTTCCCTGGTGTTCTATTATACCTTGAACATTTGTTTACCTTGCATCTTTACTTCATCGTGAGAACTTGGTCGCGTCCTTTATATTCCCTTCTGGCAGCTCTGCTGTTTTACTGTTCATGCACTCTTTGCAAAGTGCTCTGATCGCGATAAACTCGCAGATACCTCACGATTCGAGGTTTATATTTATTACTCAATATTGATTATTAATGTATAACCATATTTCAAACAAATCCTGTGTTTCGGATTTTACGCGTAGCTCCAACGTTTGGTTCATTGTTGAGAAGTCGCTTGTTTGCTTTAGTTTCGTATTTCTTGGAAAGAAATTCATTTATGCAAATTGATTGTTTGGTGGAAAAATAATTTATTTAAGAGCAGTTTGCATCACAATCTGATATCATACAATTAGTTCCCTTAATGAACTTGAATAAAGCAGTGAGAACGAAGGTGTAAAATAAATAGACGTCATTTTATTTCACAGGTTTTTCATGGGTTGGATGTAATCAGTATGAGAGAATTAATGATCACTAACAGATATTAACATACCTGCACTGCAGCAGTGTAATTTCATATTAGATTTGACTATTTGATATACCACAGAGTGATACAGTATCAATTACTAGATGGTGTTTCGAGAACAGCTTCTTGCTCATAATCATGTCAAGATAACCACATAACTTTCGGTCATAGTTTGTTATATTTCTATTGCTTTTCTCTCTTTGATTTCACTGGTAGTACGATTTTCCATATATCTGAAATCAGCAGCGAATCATTCCTACTGCACGTGTTAGACGTTGAATCCAGGAACAAAGATTGAGTGATCAACATCTTCATCCACTTAACTAAATCAGGCTTTAGGACGGTTGCTCCGTTTCACCCTATTGAATGGTTACGTTATCTTACGGCAGCTATGACTGCATTCTTCTCCAGAATACTCATCTGAACTGAATTCATTAATCCAGATAGCCTAGGTTCGTATATTCTGCTAACCTGAATGACCTCGATCAACGACTTTCACCTCCGTACTTGCCCTCGCATTCGTTGCAAGATATTTGGTGAATTGTCTTTTCTAATTCGGTCAAGAGAATCCTTGAGTCAATGAAGGTTGTCCCTGAGTGAATTTGAAGATTTGAAAGCAACTTTAGTCCCAGCTCTACTGAGAATCTTATGTAGAGTTTCTGATGTCCCTTTCTCATATGGCAACAAGATAGAGGGCCTGAATTCCACATTAGTCATGTTTAAACCATTGTTTATTTACCACTTTTCTTTTTCATACATCTTTAAGTATTTTCTGAAATAATTTAGAAGGACAATATTTCAAAAGTTAAGCTTCTTCGTGTTTCATTTCTTGATTCCAGTTATTTGACTTACTGTATAGACTCGTAGATCGATTACATATACATTTACCTAAATCTACCATTATTGATATAAGGTGAGATGATCTAATGTTTAAATATCTATTAGTATGGTATGTTCCTTTTGTAGACACTTGTGTCCACACCACCATCTTGTCTTTGTTTTATTTTACAATTTAACAGAGCTAATTCTCCTTGTTCATATTCTGACTTGAGAATAAATCTCACTACATTTACGATCATGTTCACGTGTTTGAAGAAATTATGGATATGTTACGATTTCAATAAAGTAAAGGTGTCATCCAAATATTCCCACTATACTTTTAGGGTGGCATTACATGTTTTAAGAAACCCGCGTTTCCAACTTTCCATAAAAATACCTGCTACAATCGGGGGTATTAGTTATCTCATTGTTACTTGTTCGCTTGTTTATATACTTTATTCAGAAAGTGGAATTCGAAAACTATAGAAGTGAGACATAATTGAACCACTAACATGACGTCGATATCTTAGTTCTATAAACGAGCTAATTATCGATTTGGAGTTCATTTCTGACAGCTTCTAGAGTCATACTGACTGGCACATTACTATATAAGCTTTTGACATCAAAAGTGATTATTTTTCATCCTCTTTTATCCGAATATTATCTAACTTTTGCATTATTATATATGGATTGGTAGGTTTAAAGTTTGAGTGATTTCTAAAAGGTCATAATATTGATGCTAATTGTTTAAATAGTATGGTCGGATAACTTTGTTTCTGAAATTTTATAGTACAACGTACTCTACTCGCATTATTAGTTTTAGGCACCAAAGAAACCACTTTGATTCACACTGAAACGACTTCATTCGATATACCTAGTCGGTTGTCAACCCCATTCATCCTATCACAAGTGTTGATGGGTGGCTTGAACTCTTTATATGCTCATTGAGTTTCATGAAGTAATCCGACCTGTTAATAACTACAATTGAACTGTGCTTATCACGTTTGGCCACTATACTGTTACCACTTCTTAGATAAATGTTATTTCACCTTCTGTTGCTTCAGTGCTGGTCCACATTTTGCTTGAACGGTTTCAGCAGTTATGGTGGAGCATATCCCTAAACTGCTGGAGAAATAATTATATCCAAGTAATGCCATAAATACAACGGGCAGACGGACATTATCGTCTACAGGTAAACATATTACAGAAACTGGTGACAGGATTGACCTTAAAACGGTCTTTAGACCACTCACTATATAGGAGCCGTCAAGACCGCATATTTAGGTTAACTGAAGCTTTACGAAAGTTCAAACCTCTTATGTGTATTCAAACACAATTTCTCCTTACCTTAAACCTTGCTTAATAATCTTTATCCCATTTTAATAAGGGAGTAATGAAAATGTATAATTCCTCAATAGTATCATCATCTTTTTCCAAATCTTTTATTATATTAATTTATTTGCTTTACCTCACTCTATGTTCACCTTTCATATAAAAATGCCTTGATAAGTTGTCTTATTTGTTGAGCTGAATGCTACCTCGCTGCTAGAACTAGCATCTTCAGGTTTCAAATGACTTACTGCCAAGTTGATGTTTAGCCTTTTCTCATGTACTTGTATTTCATTTGAGCTTAACGTTCTAACTGACAGGTTGACCATATAGTTTGTGCGATCGATAGTCGGTTTCATATTAGTAATTTACTCCTTCCTAGAAAAATACCTTTCTTCCGTCAATTTGTTGAACTTTTTAATTTGGCATTTCTGGCTATATTAAAGGCAGGTAATTTAGTTTCATTGAATGCTTTAACTAGGATTTCATGGTTTTTACTGTTTAATGTACCTTATTTGGAGCAGCGCCTTATAATATAAGACGAAAAAACCCCTTTTGATTCACAATACAAAGTAGATTGCAGTAAAAAAAATCATTCAAACTGAAGATGTGTTACGCGGTAAGGTGATGAATATTCATGAGTGAGTGAGATAAGATTACATACAATTATAAGTGACTGCAAAATTATGTGAAGAAAATTATCTAAATGAAACGATAAGTGGATGAAACAAGTTATTATGATGATGGGAAAAACAGTAATAGTGAAACGATAGCCAATATGAATGCTGATGAAAATAAGTATAAAATGAAAAATATAAAAATTTTTGGGAAATGTGTTAGGGCAAAAATTCACTATTTATCAGGATAGCAATAGACTAGTGAATTTCTCTTATTGAATACAGTTTCGATTGAACTTATCAGATAGTGACAGCTTCGGCAATTTGAATCAAGTGTGAAGTCTTTTATTTGTTGACTACTAAGGAAGGCACTGCATATCAAATAAATGATGAGCTGTTGTATAGATGAACGAGAATGAACCCTTAAAATGTTTACTCTTTGGTATGTGTTCAGCAATCCTAGTACACAAGTGCCCTTATTTCTTCATATGTACTTTCTTCCGCATGTTTAAATTAATAGATAAATAAATTTGAAGTTAACTAAAGTCAGAAATTTGTCCCATTTCGGCCCTGTGGTTAAACATTTTGCCTAATATAGGTAGACCCTGATAAGTCCCAGACAGTGCGAAAAAAAACAGAAAATCGAAACGCAGTCAGCAACTTTGTGCGCTTTCGTGCAGCAGGCTCTGAGCTGCACCTATTGCTATTGTGTGAGGGATGATAATACTACCTGGCTGCTATAACTTCAGCAGGTGAAGCGGTGTTCAAACCTATGACTCACTTCGTAGCAGGTCGAAGAAGAAAGCATGCTTTACTTAATTTTAAATAAAACCACAAACTTACCATGCTATCATAATCCCATTGTCAGTACACATATGCGGTGGAGGAGCTACAAATCTCAAGTTGTAATGATTGGCCACCTCAACCAAACCAGCACGAATAACGGAATTAGCACCAACACCACCAGATACAACCTATAAGATGAAGATCCAAGTATGAGTAATTGCATTACCGAACGGGTTGTTCGACAGCAAATACTATATACCATTAGGTTTTTGAAAAACAAACAAAACAGATAGCTAACAAATATTTACAAAACGAATCCAGAACGTCATACAATATGTTCGTCTGATCACTTTCATTGAAGCAAGAAGAACTGACTTTTTCTCAAGTTGGTACTCACCATGGACTGACATTAGTTGGAGGAACACTGGAAACCTGGAAGTACTGCATAGCCGTTTTGTCCCAGTATGAGACTCCTCAGCAGTGTGCACCCACGACCTCGCTAGGGGCCGTACCCAGAACCTTCAGATCCTATGGCTAGCATGTTACCATTGAGCCATTGGGTTGGGATCCAATGGTCTATATTATCAACTCTTGTCAGTTCACGACATAGTGCGACCATCATTCAATGTCATTGTTGAGTACTTGTCCACACGGCCACTGGGTTTGCCCAACTTGAAAAAAAATCACTGAATTCCCACAAACCCTAAAATTCAAGAACTGAGTTTACAGACTACAATGAGGTCACTTAAAGATGTATGCATAGTTCTCCAGTATCTGAGTACAGATTACTTCAACCACCGCCAGTGTAATAAAAATATTGAGTAGGCACAGTTGCAAACAAGTATAGAAAACAAAACAAATAGGATGAAGTTGTAACGACTTACATATTTTTAACCTTCTATGCATAATAACATACCACCCACAGAGATGCAATGAAGTACCAGCTTTATCAGAAATTGTTATCACTTTTGTTTTGTAGCTTCTTCCATAACATCTGTCAATAGTGATTACTTTAATGTCAATTGCACTCTCTCTTGCTGATTCCCAATCACTTTGCAACTTAATACGATATGTAATTTACGCTGTCTTATCGTCTATGTATATTGCCTTCAGTAAATGTGGGTAATAGATGCAAGATCTCATCGATGTTAGAATATAGTTTCAATTTGTTGATCACACAATAATCCAGTACACTCTAATGAGATAAACAACTATTAAGATGATCAGTGGAATTATTAGAAGTGAAATTGTCAAACAACTCAGTAACACTGGTTACATCACCGAGACAGATTTCAAAACTGGTACTTTTCTAATTTCGTTTCACTGCAGATGCCCTAGTCATATGCACGAAGAAGCCAGAAATATGTAGACGAGATAGACTTGTTCAAGTTTTGTTTTTACCATGATCATAATCCCAAGCTTTCAAATTAAGATTGTTATTGTTTTTCTTGTTTAAAATTCCATTTTTCCTTATCATTGGCAATTTAATATTGTCTCCATGTTATTATCATATTTTCTTAAGTTACAATTCGACTTGAAAATCCTCGCGGCATAGTACACAACTTAATGTTGAAACTTGTACGCCTTGTTACTTTCTATACTATCCTATAGATAATCTTCTCTTTTCATGATAACCAGTTTTTAACATCCTTAAAATTAGAATGGTCTTTATTTTTCTTCCTTCTGAAAATGCTTAACGAAAAGAGATGAGTGACTGAAAAATATCGTTACACTTTTTATTTTCTTTGATGTCCTAATGAAGTTTTTTCGTACTTCATTCTAATGGCTAAAAAGTGATGATTACATGCATAGAAAAAACAATCATAAACGTGTAACATACCAAAGCTGTAGGACGATTTCTTATCACACTGGATTGATTAGCATTGTTCAGTATGCAGAATTCAATAGCGCGCTGAACACGTCGACATATAAGACGTGTCATAGCAAATTGAACGGAAGCACAAATATCAGCAATATCTTGGATTGATAATGCATTTGTACTCCCTGCTGTAAATAATATACGGCACGAAATGTAAGAAATGGTATCGCAATAAGCTGTACAAAACGTTTCAACAGCAATAAGGGTAAAGCTGAGGAAGCAAGAAACAGCTATTGGTAAGCATAATAGTCACCTGCGAGAGGAAAAACAATATATCTAACATTGTCCAAGATCTCTTTCTCCTTTAACAGATATTTCATGAAAACAAAAAAAATTAGGACATTTGAGAATTGTAACAGTTAATACGCACAAATTTACATGGTCTCCAAGACCTAGATTTACTAAGTACTATATTAAATCTGTATAAATGAGGCGCTATTTATGTGTTAAAGCATCTGCATAGATGTCCGGATGTTAACGACCAAAATGTCGCTCATAAAAGGTATAAAATGTTAACCAGGAGGCTCATGAAGTTTCATACGTTCTTCAGTGGATGACACCTATTGCGTGAACGTTTAAGATACTATCGAACTGTTTACACCCGTGCACATACCTGTAATCCACTAGATACAAGTTGATTGCCTGAATAATAAATCACAACTCCACGTTTTCCAGTATGCCTTACGTTTACGCTTCTCAATCATGATTACCTTTAATATTAAGACATAAGATAGAAAAGTCAAGACAAAATCTTTTTACCTGCTACCTTTCTCAGTCAAGTGACTAGTCTGTGATACAAAGTATCACGATAAAACCGCAAAAAAGCAATATCCCCTGAATATTGGGTTGACAGACTGCACAGTTAGAGAAATTTCACTAGTTAATATTGGTGAGATTATTCTGTTACATCCGCGCTTGAAGGAAACCCGCTTATAGTCGGCAACAGAAGTCTGTAGCTCAGTGAAAAGTCTGAAAATTTAACCCCGATAAGGAAGCGACCATCGGCATAGAATGCTGATCATTCTCAAGAAACACCCTACTGTTGTCATACTCCACACAATCGGCACTACGACTGTTCTCGAAACACCATCATAGCGTAAGTGCCTTACACCACCGGTGTTACTGCAGTAGCTGTTGGTCACAGAAAAATATTTTTACATTGAGCCAAATTTACAAGCTTAAACCTACTCTATTGAAAGTTCAAGAACAACAGCTACTCGGAAAACTTGTTACTAAAAGTTGGAATGCTAATTTGTGATTTGAGCGCTCTGATTAGTTTGGAGATGTTTTCCACGTAATTTCTTCCATTTGATGCTAAGAAACAACAACTCTAGTCAGTGAACTCTAATCATATTATAACTTCAAAATAGCTCTAATTAATTAAATAATATGGATATATTAACATAGATACTGAACCTGTCTATAAGCTCAATGAACAGGAATTCAATGATTTCAGTACGAAATCACAAAGTTGCTCCACCTATTTTCACACTAATCGAAAAAAATCCGTCATAGCACTTAACAAATCTCATTTTCGACTGATAAAAACACAAATCAGTTAACTTCACTTTCTAAAACTCACCACTAGCTGTTTGTTCCAATTTACTTATGAATCGCTCTGCAGACACATGAATTCCAGTAAATGAAAAATCACAATCCTTGGATTGTGAACGTGGTAAAGGAAGTTCAAAACGACGATGATCACCACAGTACATCTTTGCAACCATTTCAATAGCTCTGCCGCCTGTTACGTTTTTCAAACTTTCATCTCCCAAACGACTTAATTTCAGACGCCTAGAAAGCTGTAAACAGAATGAATATATTACTTGTATCTCAGATATTGAAAACAACTGCTCTAAGTAGAAATAACTAAGCCCCAGAAGAATTAGATAAATAAATGTTCTAGTACCAAAAGTCCTTAATTATAACGCTTATAGTATTCATTTCGAGAAACAAATACCAGTTCATATATTTCTTTATAAAACTTGGACGGACAAAAAGCACCACAACCACTTTTCCCATTCGCTTACTTTGAACACTACTCCATCCTTAAAATCGACCAAACTTTCCCTTCAGAACAAGCTGTAAACAAAAGTATATAGTGGTTGACGATCAAGATTTAAGCAAGTTACCTCTAATTCTAGGCTTAGCCTTTTCATTTCTGAATCTATGGTTTGTCCAGACATGATCGATCCTTCTGAAACAGATGGTATCGAATGCCGAAAAATGTTTTTGAATTTGCAACAGCCTAAGCCTTACAGTTATACAAAAGAATAGAACACAACTGTGTTGTGAGAGCAGATATCTCAGTGGTATCACATCAGCCAGTAAACATCAACACAGAATTTTGAACTACTGCATAACTGTCCAAGTTACAGCTGCTCGTATCAAGAAAATGAGACAAAATGTCAAAGAAGTGAAAATAATATGATCAAAAGTTGCAGAAAGGAATAAAAAGAAGAGGGAATAAAGCAAACAACGAACTGTGATGAAATAGCTGAGATGAAGATAAATCATCGATGCATTTTCACAACGGTTACCGATTCTGAACCATAAAACTTAAATCTCCAGTCATGAGTTTCGGCAGTCATACGGAAAGCCAATATCTTTTTGCATGGCTCAAATGAGTGGACAGAGTAACATTACACACAAAAATGTTTGAAGAAACCTTTTTGCCGCTTTGTATTCTCACCTTAGTTTTACACGATTAACTGCAATCTGATTCTTGAAGAAACTACTGAACAATATAATTAGCTGGACACTGTTCATACAAACTGGAGTTGGTTTCTCAAAAAACCACAGTGAACCGTCTTTTGGCTGTTCTAAAATCGAACCAGAATGAACTAAGCCTGGAAACATTTAACTTCTAAATCTAAATTGTTCAGACTCTTGGGCTTATCTAGTACTATGAAAGCGATTATCAGTTTGATCGTATGTTGGTAGAATGATAACCTGTTGACAGATTAAAGTGGTGTGATGTGATAGAGTTTAGGTTTTACATAATGCTGAAATGACTGACTTACTATTCTAAAGTTATGATTGTCCACGAAACGTCGAAGGAATGATCACGAAAACTAGAAAACGAGTCAATAACTTCTTGCCACACTGTGGAACTGCGGCTCAGTAGTTTAGGGAGATGGCTACCAACCACTGGGTCAAGGTTTCCAGTCCCACTCCACTTACCGAGGTTTGGGCTGCTAGGTAATATAACTAGCCCTCATACAATAGGTGTGAAAGGTTATGTAAAAGGTTGCTGAACACGTTTAGTGAAATAGTACTCTCACTTTCAGAGAATTTACGATCAAGAAAGAAACCAGGAAAAGTATTGAATTTAAAAGCTTGCAAAGCTTCTAAAGGTGCACACACACTATAACATAATTTTTGATGTTCCTAGCAATAATGTGAAGTTCCGTTGACTACAATATGGATCACGTTTATTGTATGAGTTTTATTATTATTATTATTATTATTATTATTATTATTATTATTATTATTATTAGACAAGAGGCTTCGCCTGTTGTATGCATACGAGTGTCACTATTTAACAATCACCTAGTAAAGCTTACACTGTTACCTCTGTATACCACTATATCAGTCACCTTCTGTCACATCTCTGCTTCTATTTTGGACATTAGTAGTGAGAAAGTAGTTGAAAAAAATATAAGGTACACATAAAAGATACGCTTAGAAACAGCGTGACTAAATCTTGCCTATTGCATCAATTGCGAACCAACATAAAAGGGTAAGAATGAAAACTGCTGGATAACTAAGACCTACGCAGTTGACTTTCTTTCCAATGAAACAAAGGAACTGTCACGCTGTCAAAACTGCTTTTAATTCCTTACTGATTTCAATGGGAGAAATCAAAGGGAAGACAAGAAAGGTAATATAATAGTGACCACGAGAATTCGAGAATGAGCACGCACAAACTTGGTAAATAAATTTTCCAACAGGGCAATAAGAAGCCCTATTCAACTGCTCAGAAATTAATAGTGGTTAATGAATGAAGATTAACATACTCTAAATAAATACCTAACTCAAAATTGTATCTGCCAGTTTGTGTGTACTTACTGAAGAAGTACACTGAGAGGATAGAAAGATCACCCGCTACTTTTTTTTCAGCACATTCCGAGAGACCTATGTCTTAAAGGACTTAATGGCATCAGCAACTCGGTTGTTCGTCATTCCACCGACACGCAATATGTCAGTGATATTAAAAATACCTTCAAAGTTATTAAAAAACAACTTAATTCGACCTCGCTTAGGTTTACAGAAGCCATTTCAATTAAAAGGTTAGAGTTTTATCGCTGCGTTCAGAAAGCCTCAGTAGGTAACCCACAGATTACACCTTCTTGCTATTTTACATTACGCTAATAATTATCTCCTTGGTAACTTTTTTTAACTGATCATCATTCTAATCACTCTAGAATTATTGTCCTAACTTCTTACACAACCTCCCAACATTTAATTGTTTTCTCTCAGCCTTACACTTTGGGGTTTCCCACTGTTATCTAGAAGATTATGGATCTTCAACTATGAACTATATTGCTATTACTTTGTTTTATTTATTCACTATTACCAACCTGTTAGCAATTAACGAAATAAAACGCATACTGCAAATCTTGCTCGAGTTATTCTGCTATCTAGGTAGTGCTACGTGACATACATGCTACTGATTTGTTTTCTTACTGATAGCTATTCCCTACAGAAACTCTGTACAACATAAGGGACAAGAAATGTGCCAAACAAACAAAGCATTATGATGACACATAAGGGAGCTAAAGAATAGCAACAATAAGCAACCCAGTGAAAATATAGGAACACCCGGAAAGTAAAACGAAAATCGAAAGTTTCAGGTTAGCTGTCCGTTTTCGAAATTCTAATACTTCTAGGATCTCAGATAAAAACTGGCACTGCTTTCGTATATCTCGTAGAATCATCATCTTAAAATGGTTCTCAAACTATGAACTTTCACCTTTTCAAACATATTGAAAGTAAGCTGATTGGTCACCAGTGAGGTGACTGAGTCAGCCTTTACTACTTAGCGCTGATCGGAGCCTCTTCATCAAGTAAGTATGCGATTATGAATCCTAACAATTCATTTAAGTTTGAGAATGTCTGAAGTCGACTAAAATCCACATGGTAGGATGGATTTAATTTATTCTGCAAATCTATTTGTTCTCAGTTTATTGGAAATTATCGAAGAAAGTAAATACATTAATTAACAATGATCAGATAAGGATACACGAGATACATTTCAAAAACCCAAATTACTTCTGTTTTTCTCTTCATGGATACGAGGGAATTACAACATTATCACTGCTGGTCAAGTCTGGAGTCCTTGAATCGTTCTATCGCTTGAACTTGATATTAAGGGAGTTGTGATGCACTAACACATGCCAGTTTAGTGTAACTATCCTTCACTCTACAGTCGCACAATGAAAACTGATCACCTATTCTTTTTTTCAACTCGTATAAAAAGCAAGCACATAGTAGGTGGTATGGAATTCGCTAAAATTGTATGCATTATGACTGGTGAATAAAAGCAGTATGAAAGACACACTGCACCTAAGTCACAAGACTGATATAGAAGGACTGAATGCCGAAGCAAAATCGCCGCTTAGCAACAAGTGAATTAATATTTCCCGAGTTACCAGTCACCTTTAGCATACACCCTATTCGACTCGTGTATTATTGCAGTGATAGATTCAAATGTAAATAAATAGAAGAAATCACGCCGTCAATGATTATTTCTTATTTGCATAGACCAACGTGTTATCTACCACCATAACCTATCAAGCATTTCACACTAAATATATACCGATCAACAGATAGTTTTGTCCCAACTACCATCCCTAGATGTTCTAGTCAGTAGAACAAATGCCGGAAAGCTGGAAACTCAAGTTTCCAGGATGCCAACACACACTGACCAAATCCTCAACTACAGTAGCAACAACGCACAAGATCGGTTGCGTGCAGACTCCATTCAAAAGAGTGAGAACACACTGCACTACAACAGATTCACGGAGAAACGAGGAAAATTACTTAATGTCCACCCTAAAGAAGAACTGCTACCCGAGAAACTTTGTCGGATGATGCCTATCCCGTACACCATCAACTACAAAGTCATCAATAAACGCACCATCCTACCATACATAAAGAATATATCAGAAATCACGACAAGATTACTGAAACCACTTAGAATTGGTGTGGCTAATGAATTAACAAATTCCCTGCAAACACTTATACAGAGCAAAGGACGAAACAACCAAAGAAGACAAACCGAATATCATTTACAAAATCAACTACAATAACTGTAGTCAACACTACATTAAACAAAGTGGTAGCCCTCTTCGCCTTCGTCTACATGAACACCAATTGGCTATTAAACGTCACAATATTTCATCATTCATTTGAATGCATGTGGATAATTATGGACATGAATTCAATTTCGACAGTGTAGAAGTTTTGGACAGAGGAAACACAAAGAATATCAGAGAATTCCTAGAAGCTTGGGATTCAGGTCAGTCAATAATCAATAGATGTAAAGACACAAACTCAATCTACCAACCAATAAGGAAAATGACAAACGACAGAAAGATCAGACGTCAAGCAGAGGAACAGGCAACAAGAAGATCTAAACAGTCAATGACACAACAGTCAAAGGAAACAACTAATCATAAACCAGTTAGTTAGGGCAAGCTACTGAATCACTTAAGGAGAGATATTGACAGCTCACCTCATAGTGAAGTTGGTGCTGATGATGTCGTCTAGAAAGACGATGAAAGCTTCACGATTAAACAACCCAGCTCAGAGAAAACAATATAACCAAGGAGGGACTCATTTGTTTGTTATAGTTTTAAATACGATTGTACAGCTACTAAATGTGATTCCTTGAAAAGAAAACCTTATTCCCTAAATTATTTTGTATTTTTGAACGTCTCAATGGGATTTTTTCCGATATATAACTGTGTGATGACGAGGGGTTGACAGAAGGTGACAAGAGCACCTAGGTTGCGACAGGATTATTACCTTCTGTTTACTGGTGTCCAGCTAACTGACTTACAAGACCAAACTGCTGATAACGCCTTAATATTATTATGAATGGAAATTAAGGGTCGCAAATCACTGGTTTGCACATCCGATTTTCACCTAGTAGGTTGCAGGTCCGAACACCGCCCCAACTACTGAGGTCTCCAAACAGGTAATATTATTAGCTTTCACAAAAGGGTGTATCCTGTTGTTAAATACAGGAATTTGAGGGCATTTACTGATTTCGATTTTCTCACTTTTGTAGGATACTCAGTGATGGGATACAAAATCTATACGTTAGTGTTATCAACTACATGTTTTATATTATCATTAGTCCCTTGGGTTCCTAGTGGAACATAGGGCTTCAGTAGCACGTCTCCAGTGAACTCTGTTCTCTGAGATCTTTTGAACCTGATTCCACGACAGCCCAGAAGCTCTCATTTCCTCCTCGCACGACCTCCTAGCCTCGCCTGGTTAACTAGTTCACTAGTTACTAGCCGGTCCTAAGCCCGGGTAAAGAGGGAAGGTTGGGCATAGGGCTAGCAACCCTACCCCGTAAAACAAATCTAACCGCTAAAGAAACTTCAAAGCACAAACAAAATATAAAAAATGAAAACAAACTACATGTTTACTGCCTATAAACCATTTCTGAATAAAACACAACGAATTAACACAAATAAAAACAATGGGGTGTGTAGTAACATGTCATATAGGTTCGAGTCCCCTCACAAAGTGAAATAAGGAGAAAAAAGTGGACGAAAGTGATGCCGATAGTAGACAGACAGATAGGCAAACACAAACAACACAGGATTCGGTATCAATGCATATGCCTTCAAGTTACTAGAACGTCAGGAAGTATGAAATCACCATGAAAATGTGCCATCAATCGTAAAAAAAATAAGAATGGAAAGAAAAGAATATGAAGGGATTGAAAGTGCACAATGAGATTTCCCAAAATTTAGATAAATTTAAGCTACGAATGTGATCACATATTAGACAGTAAAGTAACCCTCATATATATTGGTCAGAAATTATTGTCTGTTTTGTAACATCCCCTCCTAATATTACTCAGCTTTATACTTTTAGTTGCATGATTTTCACGTATATTATTTTAAGTTCCATTCACCAAATATGCATAACGGTCTACACTTGATTAAAGTTATTATTATTAGAATACAAGCATGGTGCAGTAAGGGGTACCAACAAACGTGCCACACAAAATAGTGTAAAAATACTATGAAGACAAATGATGGGAAGTGAATAAGTAGGAAAGAAAAACAATAAGAACAGAATGATTAGAAAGGCAGTCCAATAAAGATACATTAAAAACAATACATTCATTACTTTTCAGAAGCAGAAGATAAAAGGAAGCTATAGCATGACTGTCACTGGTTTCTATTCTGAGCCATATCTGATAACTTCTTAAACCACTGAGCTGTATGATCTCTTGGACCCGACCAAGGGGAGTCGTTATGCACCGACAGATGCTAACCCGATACAACTATCCATCATAGCACGGTGCTACATCATGCACTAGCCGCACCTCTGCTTTTTCCCACCAGCCATAGGGCTAGCAAACAATGAACAGTATGGAAGTCGCTGGGACGATAAGTGTGACACATGCCCAAGCTACCAAAGCAGGTGTTTCCAGACGAATCTACTTACTAAATAATGATCTCCATCAAGCCCAAACATACACAAACATGGTGTTGTCACCGGATACGAGCAATCTTACAGAAACAATGGTGATCGAACACACAAAGTCGCCGTACATTTTCAGCTCGTAGAGACCAGATTTTACAGGCGTAGAACAAAACTGCTCTCACCGAAGGGTTGTAAACCCGACCTTTTACGGTCAGACCAGTATCGCGACGGAGTGAAAGGAGGGGCAGATTTACGTGTGCCACTCTGACTTTCGTTATGCCGTTGGAAATTTCACCACATACCTACACCAGCATTCACACAACTACCCAAAAACACTACTTCCAACGGTTCACCACCAAGGGTGAGTCTAGGTATAGGCTCCTGCCAATCTTGCAGAACTACTTTGCACTTCGATGGTGCAAAGCACATATCATACTTACGGACACTAATCGCCAACTGATTAAGTGCGGTTGAATAGCCTGTGTGTTATAGCACGGTAAAACGATATCCTCCGCATATTCAAGGTTGAACAGCCATTCTGCGGGTAGTAGATCTACACCACCATCACGCATATCCTTCAGAGCCGTTTCAAGAATGTCATCGAAGCAAAGTTAAAGAGGAATGGAGAAATTGGGCAACCCTGCCTAACCCCACTGCTGGTTTGGAACAACAATGACAGGTGGTTGTGTGCCATCACTACCTGAAGCGTTATTATATAGGGCAAATAAGTTGTAAGATTACTAAAATACGCACAAGCAAAAAACCGAAAGTAACTTGACTGCTAGTTCAAACCTAGAACATCTTAGTCTAGGAAAAACTATAAAATAGTGAATTCTACTATCTTCCTATCTCAATACAGCATGTTATTGAATACACACCGACGTGACGACGAAAAATTCAAAAAACTTACCTTATCAAGAACATCGCCTGGAGATGCATCCAACGCTGTACCTAACAAAACATAATCCTCTATTCCCTGGACAACGCCCAAAATACCATGACCGCCGCTAATTAAAAGGATAACGTAAGGAAACTTCAACCTGTGTGTTATATAAAAAAATACGTAAGGAAAATAATTAAGGGACCAAACGAATTCACAGTCTAGTTTCGTATACATACATCAAGAAAACACTATCACATTTTTTCATTTGTTTGACAGTCAGTCGTATGAAAAAACACAGGAGATGCTAGTATGTACTTTATGGGCCACTTATAGATAAATCACCAGCCAAGCACATGTTTATATACAAGCTGTGAGTCACACTACCTATGTGATGACTAATCATACTAGCTAGTCATTCAAAACTAGGTAGATGTAGCATGGTTTGAACGTGTAACCAAGTAGTCAGAAGACAATTACCACACTTTACGGGATAATACCTGCTTCCACTTATTGTACAGCTACATATAACATGATACCAAGAATATCGCATAACGCTATTTTATTGAAAAATTGGGTTCCAAGAGCGGTGAAACTACCTGACTATGTACACTTGCGGTTGGGCACATTCACCATGATATCCAGATCAGAAAGTGCATGTCTAAGCACAGCGTTCTAACATTATTTGTTTGATGGTGGATAGCGATGAAGCGCAGGATGTATGCTTTCTCCTACCCAGAACTCATCAGTTGAATGGACCTAAATCCCAGTGAATGATGATGTTTATATGTATCCAGATTCCAACGCAACACACCGGATCTATCAACTAGAATACTGAACCCCGATAACCACCACATTTGCGAAGCGTGTAATTTGTAGTGCAACTTTGTTATGCAACGACATACTGCATCAGGAAATGCTTCCCACTTCTCAGCATAAATCGATTCCGCTTAAGTATACGAATCAGTAACGATGGCGTTTACATTTCTGTTTCGAATAAGTAGACAAAGGACAATAAACAATTTACCCACATCTTCAGAAATCGGTTTTAAAATCGAAAAAATTATAGTGGTGCAGTTATCCAATAGGACCATTGATAACAATTCATTCTTCCATCAGTACACACCACGATTAGCTCCAGTTTGTTGTTTAATCCATAATAACTAGTAAATCAACTGAAGTCATTTGTCCATGTAAATATGCTGTTGTTTCAACCCAAAAAGATACTACAACCTCACAGTTATAATAAGTATTGTAGAAAAAATGTCTAAGAATTCATTAGCGTCGTTTGCAAAATAACTTAAACAACTTGATATATATACGTGGATAACTCGATTAATGTAAGAGAAAAAGTTGGGCACTAAGGTAGAGTATAGTTTCATATCAGATAGTTAATTTGATACAGCACATCGTGATACACTACAATTTACTGGATGACGTTTTGAGCAGAATTTATTGCTGATACATCAAAGTAGTTATTCTACTTTCGAACATCCTTTATATAGTCCAACGGTTCTTTATTCTTATACCTTAATGGTAGTGAAGCCTTCCAGATATCTGCAATATGTGATGAGTCATTCCTGTTACATGCTCAACGACCAATCTCCCCCCCCCCCAAACAGCTACACTGGGGTTAGGGTGGCATTTAAACTCATAGACTACCTCAGAAAGAAACTTTGTGGGCTGATAGATCCAGTAGAGCCAACGAAGAAAATTGACCTAATCTACCAGACACCCTGTACCAATCGTTAGGTCGAACCTCGCCTAGTTTACTAGGCGGTCCTAAGCCCCGAAAGAGGGGAGGTTGGGTAAGTGGCTAGCGACCCTACTTCAAAAAATCAATCCAATCGCCAAAGAAACTTTAAAGCACACAGGAAACATAAGACGAGAACTTATTCTTTGCTGGAATTGAAGAGACGAAATGACACCGGTTGGTGAAAGACTTCGGGAAGCCCAATTGGCCAACGCATCTTCTCTTCTCTCGATGAAAGCGAAAGTAAACATGGGGACATGGAATGTCCGCACCATGTATGAACCTAGCAAAGCTACCCTCATTGCAAAAGACATCAGAAGGTATAGCATGAAAGTGCTTCAAATCTGCGAGGGATAAGCAGATGGGATGGAAGTGGACTCTCCAAACTGTCAACTGGAGAGGAGTCAATAATCTACTCCGACATTGTCACCCAGACGACAACCATGAGCACACTGAGTTTCGGAGTGGCTATCATAATGTCCCACTCCCAAGAGCATCAAAGGCTCTCATTCAGTGGGAACCAATCTCCTCCTGTAGGATCATGACAGCAAGATTCAACTCAAAAAGAAACAAGAGACAATCATACAATGCCAATACTACGCACCTACAAATAATGCAGATGAAGAGAGGAAGGAGGAATTCTATAGACAACTTCAATCAACACTCGACAAGACTCCAGTTGACGACATCAAAATTCATTCTGATGGGTGACATGAATACCAAACTGGGTGCAGACAACACAAAAAGAGAACTCATCATGGGTCGAGAAGCACTCGGTGAAATGAATGCGAATGGAGAACTGTTTGCAGACTTCTGCGCACTCAACGATTTGGTGATTCGAGGCAGTGTGTACAAACACAAGGATATTCACAAAGCAACATGGATTTCATCAGATACCAGGACACACTAAAAATCAGACCGACTTCATCTCAATATCAAGAAAGTGGAGACGCAGTCTACGGAACATAAGATCAAGAAGAGGAGCAGATGTAGGCTCAGACCACTACCTAGTGCAAGTTCAAAGTGGTGGGAATTTGGATAAAAGAGGGAGAATAACAAATATGGTTTTCAAAGTGTGTGGATTAATGGAAGTGGATGTGCTAACAACCATGATTAGAATATAATGGATTAAAGTGAGTCGGAAATGATGGAAATATGAATAATATTTGTGAATAATATGTAAGACAATAAGATGAAAGGATAAAATATTAAGTAAAGCTGTCGGAATAAAACAACTCGCCAAGACAATGCAAAGTGAACCACAAAATCCTTTTGTACTCATAAGTATAGTTTCAGTCGACAGATTACTGTTGCTTCTGCATAACATAGAAATCTACTGTTTCTTTTAGTATTGATTATCTTGAAAGCAATGTCTGAGTTGACGAGTTCAACACTCGGAAACTGAAGGACGAAACTACAAAGAAAATCTTCACGGCAGTCATCAACACAAAATGTGAGATATCGAGAAATATCCCTGAAGAAACCAGTGTGGATGAGCACTGGAACTCTTTGAAAACTATATGGAAAGAAACCTGCAAAACCGTGTTAGGAAGGAAGGAGAAAGAAAATAAGGAATGCATCTCCATGGACACACAGAAGCTGATAGAGGAGAGGAGGATGGTGAAGAAGAAGATAAACCAGTGCAGTGCAGGGATAAACGATGGAAAGAGGGACTGAACACAATCTATAAAACACTACATTGGACAAAGAAGTAAGGAAGACTGCGTGCAAAGACAAAAGACACTTCTACGACACGTTGGGAAGCGAAGTAGAACAGGCTGCAGGTAGGAGTGACAGACACCTGACAACATTACATCAAATAACCAGGCTACTCACTATCTGGGAAGAGATCAACACAAATGAAACCAACGAAAGATGAAAGTGAAGGAAACTTAGTTACCAAAGGGGAGGAACAAAGAAAACGATGGGCTGACCACTTCAAAACACTCTTGAATCAACCACCACCTGGAACTCGTCCGCAAATACAACCCAGCAGCCCAGTCACAAAACTATCAGTGAAAACAAACCCTCTGACAAAACCAGAAGTCCTGAACATCATAAAGTTACTGAAATCCGGGAAAGCACCAGGACCAGATGGAATTCCACCAGAAGCACTGAAAATAGACTCTGAGACAACAGAGGAAATGCTCACACTACTATTGCAGAGTTTGGAAGGAATGAGGGAAGGAAAGGTACCTGCCGAGTGGAAGAAAAGCTAACTTGTCAAACTCCCGAACAAGGGCGACCTAAGTCTTTGCAAGAACTGGCGAGGAATTATGCCCCTGTCCCTATCAACCCAAGCAAAATATTAAGCCGCGTCATTCTGGAGAGACTAGAAGATGCGCTGGATTCCAAATTATGACCGGAACAGGCTGGCTTCTGGAAGAATAAATCATGTGTGGATCAAATTGCAACGCCACGCATCATCTTATCATAGAACAGAGCATAGAATGGCAGTCAACTGCACCTCGGTTTCATCGACTTTGAATAGGCCTCTGACAGCGTTGACCGAGATGTAATTTAGCAGCCGCTTCAACACTACGGTTTTAATGCTACAAACCTGTATTACACTTATTCAATAGCCATATGACGACGCTACGTGCCAAGCGATTCACAATGGAAAGCTCAGTGACGCCTTTGACGTAAAGACAGGAGTAAGACAAGGCTGTCTACTATCACCCATGATGTTCCTAATCGTGGTGAACTGGATCATGCAACAGTGAGGAGCGAGAAAAGGGGGGATATGCTGGCTGGACCGGGGAAAAGAACCTAGAAGACTTGGATTTCGCCGATGACTTGCGTCTGATGTCACGCAAAGTTGAAGATGTACAGGCGAAAACTAACAAGTTGACAGAAGAGGCAGGGTGGCAAAGACGGACTTCCTTCAGGTGAACGTAGAGAAGACGAAGGTGATGAAGATGCCCAACCAACAACTACTACTACTACTACAAGCACCAATCACCATGAATGGGAGAAATCTAAACGAAGTTGTCCCTTTCATCTACATGGGCAAAGCAGCATCGTTCCAACTACCGGTGGCGGCACAGGCACAGATGATGTCAAGGCAGCCAGCATCGGAAAGACAGTAAGACGGGCCTTCATTAATCTGAAATCGATGTGGAGATCTACTGCACTGCACTGCACTCAGCATAAAGCGTCAACAAGATCCGGATTTTCAACACTAATTCAGTCAAGTAAGTCAGTACTTCTATGTGATGGTTGAGAGACTTGGCGTGTTACGAAAAGCATTTCCAACAAACTACAGACATACATCAACAGCTGCCGTCTACGCTCACTCGATACTAACACTGAGGACCAGATGACTAGAAAGAATAAGCAACAAGGAACTCTCTAGCCTGGTAGCCACCCAACCAACAACCTATCATCCAACAAATATGCAGAAGTAAGTGGAGATGGATTGGACGGGACATGCACTGAGAAGACGGTTCGGGGACATCACGCGCCAGGCCCTCGAGTGGAACCTGCATGGGAAATGACGAGTTGGGCATTTGAGGGTGACATGCGGGAGATCATGTGAGGAAATGAAATCTTATGGGCAGTCATGGAGCTAGGCCCAAAAGACTGCAGAGAAGAGAATGAAATGCCGACGTGCTACTGAAGCCCTATGTTCCACTGGGAACCCAAAGGACAAATAATAAGTTAGGTCGAGTATAAAGATCAGAGCAGCCGATCAGGGTCAGTCAGATTAGCAGATCACAAAAATTTGAGAAGCGTACAATGGTAGACCCCACTGAGATAAATAAGTTAGAGGAAAACATCGCTATCGCTCTACATGCACTGAACTATAGAATGACAATTCTAAAACCCAATATAGATAGTTGAAAGGAAGAAATTGATCACAGAATCTGTTTTCATTGTAACAGGAATGACTCATCACATATTGCAGATATCTGGAAGGCTTCACTACCATTAAGGTATAAGAATAAAGAACCGTTGGACTATATAAAGGATGTTCGAAAGTAGAATAACTACTTTGATGTATCAGCAATAAATTCTGCTCAAAACGTCATCCAGTAAATTGTACTGTGCTATGTCGAATAAACAATCTAATATGGAATTACAACTGGATTAAGTTGTTGGACAAAACATGATACATTATATTTCCAAATCAGGAAAGTGTTACTTACTCGGAATCAGTAAGTAAAGCTGTCAGTGCATGAGCTTCCATATGATCTATCGGTATGATAGGTATCCTAGAATAGAAATTTTTCACAGTGAAACGTAAGACTACTTTAGTCGATGTGCTAAAGATTTAGCAAAGTCAACCCCAATTTTCAAAGATAGCGGCATACCTGGCTTCACTGTAACAGCTATAAAGTCTAAATCCTAATGAATACTCTGTAATTCTTAATGCGATTATGCAGTATACCTGGAATTCAATATTGGACTTGGTTACAGCTACATTGACGACTGACTCAATATTCTGCTTATGTAGTTCGGCTGCAATGGGTGGCAGTACACCTCCAAACCTTAAAAATCATTAGAAATGTATGACACTTACATGACACTGATTTTCGTTTGTGAAGATAAAGAATCCCCCAGAAGTTTCCCGGATTCGTTTAAGACAGCAGCTCCTGTATCATCACAACTCGTTTCTATGCCCAAAAGATGGAAAGAACTACGCTGATTACAGCGTTGCTATAAAACGCTTAGGAATTTCGAAATGAATATTAATAGTTTACCTGGGATAAGCTTCCCATCATCTTACAGTTACGTAGGAAACTGAATGTTAAACCAACTTTATTTCTCATCGCTTTCTGAGTCTGAAAGTATATGAAAAAGATTACACCACACTAACAAGTTAAATAATTCATATTAGTGAATTGAAACAGTCCACAGTACTACTAATGGGCTGAATTATGCTACGCCAACCTATGGCAAATAAACTAGCTGCATATTTATTTCCAAGTATCAGGTGATAATGTGCCGTCTAATCGATACTATGAAATCCCCACGTAAAAATGTCTTTTTGATTGCGGGAAAAAGAACGAGTGTAAAGACAAATATTATTGGTAGCTGTTGTATCAGCCAAAAAGTCAGTCTCAGGTATTTAGTACTGGTCGTATTATTCTATTTATTTACAAGTTATTTTACCTGTGACTCATTCGGTTATATTACTCTATATGATGGCTAAAAAGCTTTCGGTCGACTCCTCACTGATTCCTATATTGCGAACAATTCGAAAATAACCGTATGTTGAGTGAAACCAATTATTGTGTTCATTGTTCTGTTCCTGAAATTGATTTCTACTTTCACAAACTACGGTGAGTTTTGATCACGTAATTTAGTTGTATATGTACAGGTGGTTCAGATTGCCAAAATATACAGACGATAAGCAATAAACTCTCTTCTGTTGTACGAGGTTGGTAGGATCAAATTGCGCGACTCTCCATGTAGGTGAATTGAGCAGGAGACTTAGTAAGTACATGCGAGACCACTAACTGGCGAATTCAGCGTTGAGACTAAATCGGTAGAATCATCTGCTGCCGACAATTACAACTACGCAGTGATAATTTCAATGGTCATATATAACTGACTGAGTTATTGAGGGCGGCAAGATACATCTGACAAAAATCAATAAATGGATGTAAGACTGATACACACTTAGATAGACAAAATCAACTTAGAACCTCGTATAAACGCTGGGCAGAACACTTTGAAACACAGTTCACTTGACATACAGCAACGCTTCAGTTGCCCAATATCCAGTCTGAATCTCAGTGGGACGTAGATGTCAGTCCTCCAACTCCCCTTGAAGTTGAGAAAGCTGTATGAAACCTGATACGATGCAAAGCGACAGGACCTGACAGTTTGCCACGTGAAGTTCGAAAGGATGGAAGTAGGAAATTGTTACCTAGTGACAGAGGTACTAGATAGTGATCGTATGGGAATCAAAGTTAGACTAGCCTACTGTTTCACTGTGTGACACTTTTAATAAACAGATTAAAATGGAATTACAACCTGCTACAATGGCCAAGTTTTACTCCTATATTAACCCAATATACTCCGATTTTCGCTCAACGCATTTGGCAGACTTCATGTAGCACAACAATAGCGTCTGGATACTCCAAGTCAACGAGATGACCTACAGGGAGTAGGCCAATCCCTGTGAAGTCAGACCTACCTAAGTTTATGTCCATTAGTACGTTCATGACGAAGTTAAATATGAACAGTGACAATGGGCATCTCTCGTGGACACCACTGGTTGTTACCGATTTAGATGACAACTCTCCTAAAGCTCTTACATGGTTGAGTGAATCCGAGTAGAGAGCTTTGATAAGCACTAAATACTTGCTAGGTACTTCATTTACAGTCAGACATTACAACACCCCACGGTCGAGAGTCGAATACCGCCTTCAAGTCAACAAATATGGTAATTGTCGGCCACGGGTCGGTAAGCATGCCTGTGTCAGAGGTACTGTCGGAGGGTAAAAATATGATCGATGCACCCTCATCCAGGTCAAAAACCTGCCTATTTTTCTCGAGGTTTAGTTAGGCGTTAAATAACTGTGAGTATTAGGATCTTGGACACGAAACAGTTAAACTATGGCTGTCATATGAAGACTTATCTCTCTTATTAAAGACTGGAATGATCAGTGGACTAGTCCGACCGAACTAACTTTGATTCCCATACGATCACTATCTAGTACCTCTGTCACTAGGTAACAATTTCCTACTTCCATCCTTTCGAACTTCACGTGGCAAACTGTCAGGTCCTGTCGCTTTGCATCGTATCAGGTTTCATACAGCTTTCTCAACTTCAAGGGGAGTTGGAGGACTGACATCTACGTCCCACTGAGATTCAGACTGGATATTGGGCAACTGAAGCGTTGCTGTATGTCAAGTGAACTGTGTTTCAAAGTGTTCTGCCCAACGTTCTAGACGTTTATCCTGACAGGTTATCAGCGTCCGATTCTTTTCGGTGAAAGTTGCACTAGCCATTACATTCTTTTTGCCGGTATGCTCAATAAGTCTAAATAGTTCCCGAGTGTTACCCAACGCTGATGCATTCTCCACCTCTCTCGTTCTCGCCACCCACCACTGATCACGACCATTGCGAAGACTCTGGATTTATTTACGTTTCAGTTGCTTTTGCTCTTTCATGAGGTCAAAACTAGCTGAAATCAGTTTTTTCGTGTCAATCAGTTTGCATGAGTTCACAGAAAACCAATGACGTTTGCTAAACTTCGGGTGCCAGTTAGCCAGTTTTTACCTCCATTTCTACATCGCACTAAATATCACCCCGGGTTCACTCAAAACGAGCACTGCTGTCACTTTCAAATAAATACCAAGTTAAATCCTTCCTAAATGCGTATATGACGCCCTCATCTTCCCCCCTTTTCTGTGACCAGTAAGACCCAGACATACACGAGTGAGTACCAACGCGTGATCAGCGTCCAAACTGACGCCCCATAAAGAGTGGCAACCCATTATTGGTTAGAAGTTGACGAACACTATATGAGATAGTGTTTCTCCCTATGCTTTAAGCTAGTCCTGATGTAAACATGTGATTGTCAGAATAAAGTTGCGAGACGACTATTGGTGTCGGTTTTATAGCATAGAATTCCATAAATACCTCAAGATGCCTGTATGATTGACTCAGCTTTCCTACTTGAGCGTTTAAATCACCTGCCACTGTGACTACCACCAAACGCTCTGCTCTCTGTAGCAGCTGACAGCTTCCAACAGAATGCATTCTTTGCATCACCTGACCTGCAGTCGGTGAGTGTGTGGGCGGATTACAAATAGGCGTCGGTTGGGTATACGATCCTTCCCAGCTCTTACAGATTCATCCAGTGGAACAGCACATCAACGGTAGTTTATTAGTATCTAGTCGAGAAGCAAACTTGCTGCCCTACAGTTTGATGCTGTAGGGCAGCACCAACGAATCTCCTAATACTCTTAAGGTCAATTCTGACGATTCAATGCACTGGTCAGATGAAGTCAATAAAATAACCACGCTTGGGCTCTGTATAAGCGTCTCAGAGACAGAGCATGCATCCATGGCTCGAGATCTGGAGAGCGATGTTTGCTGTCCAATTTAGCAGAGTTCGGACGTTGAAAGCTCCTACACGAAAAAGATGGCTGTTTCGGAAGACCAGGAATGAGGATTCGTTACTCCACTCAAATACTTGTTCATTTGGCAGAATTTTTGAGCAGACTCAATACTACACCATATGCAGTGAAATTACATCTAAATTTAGGGTATTACACAGGTTGTTACAATATCTAAATCACCTTCATTTTGAAAAATTCAAGTATTAGTTACTATTCACTACTCTGTCCTCTAATTGCATATTTTGGCATAACTGTGCGAATAGAGGATCATGTTATAGAGGTAGACTACAGACACTAGATATGATATACGCTAATCCACAGTTAATGTCACACTTGCAACGTTAGGATAGGACGTGGAAAGTGTGTAAGGTTAATGAAACGGAATGCGAGGGGTTGGTCAACGTTAGAATTTTAAATAGGAATGAAACGATAACCATCCTTGCTCTCAACCTACTAGTCTTATAACCTACATCCAGGCTGTTTTGAGACATAAGTATGTATGTCCCAATAGTCGAAACTCCCCTTCGTTTCGATTTAGCATACTTTGTCTCAAGATTTAAGGAAAAATAAATTTTAGTGAATACCACTGACACATCTGCTGAAAACTTATGAAACAGCATTGCCCAATTAATTACGTAACTAGTGGGACAAATTTTCGTAAATGCAAACGGAGTTGTGCGTATTTTCTTAGAATTCCTCACACACTATCTGTTTGGGACTGATACCTTTTTTTTAATCCATGTGTATCAGCGAAGAAAAATTACAGCAGAAGCGGATGAGTGAAGAGGGGTATTTTATGTTGTCATGATGCGTGACGGAAATGAAGGACAGTGTATCTACCAGCCTCCCTTCATGCCTGTCCTTGCGAAAATGATGACCGGGGAGAAACACGATCACACCTGTCGCATCTAACGATAGCGCAAAGGCGCAGATAATAAACCTGTCTAGGAATTCCAACCCAACCGATAAATGAGAAAGACACAAGCGAGAAAAATGGCTGGGTGGGAATTAAAACCGGAAAAACGACAGTAACAGTCGACTTTAATAGCTACCCTGGCAGGGATCGAGATAAACAACTGGGCTTTATTTTGGTTGGAAAGGCAGATTTTCATAAATTAAAGAAGTCCAACTGGTCATTAAAGTCCACGCTAAAACCACTCACATTCTGAACGTGCCCCTAGTGGGATGACCCACAAAGGACAATCTTCAACATTCAATAAAAAGTCTGAGCAAGGAAACTCATAGTTTCCAACCTCTCACTCCTGGGTCTTGAGATTTGATTCTTTTTTTCGGCTGTCCGTTTTCTCAGAAGTCTTTTCAGTTTACCTACTTCAGATTTGTTATTTGAGAATAGATGTATGTTAGTCCATTATAATTCCTTTTCCAGTAGATTTCTGTTCTTGTTCAACCCCCCTTAGAACGAATCATTTGACGATGCAGACACCACTTCTTCTGGTAGTTGGTTCCAGATGATACTTGATTGTTGGACCAGCACTCTACGGAGACTATGTTCAATCCTTGTTCTTGTGTCCTCCTACTATATCCTCTTAGGTGTCCCAACCCAGGGGGTAGGAAGAAAGAAGATAGATCCGGTCCAAAGTCATTTCTTGGGATCCTGTAAAGCACGATTAGATCTCGCCTCCGTCTGAGATATGATAAAGAGAAGTGGTTCAGCTCCTTAAGCCGATCTTCATATGTGAGGCCAGCCATAGCAGGAATCATGCGAGTGGCTACCCTCTGAACTCTCTCCAGAAAGTCACCTTTCGGGCGAGGATTTGGAATCTGTGCACAGTTTTCTGACTGAGACTTAATTAAGGATGTGCATAAGATGGTGAATATATCACCACTTATTTTCGTAAACATTCTGCATCATGCCCAAAATGTCATGAAACTCCAAGCTGCTACCAATCCACAGTGTGATGTGGTTTTAAAGTCGTAAACCAGTATGACCACTGGGTCACTGTGGGTCAGCACTGACGGTAGAGTAGCCCCATCAATATCGTAGGTGCTGCCATCTGTGTGCCCCAAGTGCATACTCACACATTTTCCCGAGTTAATAGGCATCAGTCACTTCGCTGACAGCTTAAACAAGCTGTTTATGTCCATCTGAAGTGCATGTATATCCTCGTCATCCCTAATTTCTCGCCGGATTATTGCATCAGCAGCGTAGAGGACCATGGGGGATTTCCTAATATTTGGCAGCTCATTTACCTGCAAGAGAAAAAAATAAGTGCCTTGTGGCACTCCGCTGTCTGCCGTCTTCCAAGAGCAGATTTGAAAATCGATCACTATCTAACTCTGCCATCCATACAAACAGATAACAATGATAATAATCGCCAATGATTCCAAAATTTTCTAGTTTCCCCGAACAACCTGGAATTGGGTACCCTGTTGAACGCCTTTTTAAAGTCTATGAGGATGACATCCGCAGATTTCCTACCATTTTCGGACTCCACCCACTTTTCTCTGACTGTAGGGAGGTTCTTCAAGCAATTGTCGAACTTATCGGCCTGCAACTTGACGAGTGGTGTTTAAAACCTGCCCTGCAAATAGGTGTGACCATGGCTTCCTTCCAGCCACAGGGGAATACGCCCTCACTAAGGAACAGCCTAAATATAGTAGCGGGTCTGCAATGTAGAGTGTAAGCTCCCTGAACAGCCTCGGGTGCAGCCCACCCGGTGCCGTCGACTTTTCTGAATCGAGAGTACTCACTGCCCAAAATACATCATTGAGATCGACACGCGCAGAGTTTGTTCTGTTTGCCGTCGAAAATTCCACCGCTGTTATGTAGGAAGTCATTACCTACTTGAAAGTTTTTTCCAACAGAGTGGGTGGGTTTGTTTGGAAAGCAACAAAACTGCCGATGACATCAGTGAACCTTTTTACTTCCCATTCCGGATGGAGATAACATGTCCACTCACCCACACGTGAAGACAGCAAGCTAAATCCAGTCTTTTGCCGTGGCACCGTTCCAGTCACCGCGTATGCTGGTAGTGAATTCGCTAACAGTGACCGTAGAAAGGTTTTCTGTTGCCTACCAATCTTTCCTCCTCGTGAGGACAGTAGGGAACCTGTGAGAAATACCTTGTATCGTAGCTTAAAAAGTATAGAATAGGAGGTATTCATCGAGCTCCTCAGGCGCAGCCCATGGGATGAGTACTTCATAATAGCCTCATTGACAGAGTCACCTCCGTTTTTCTACAGAAATATAATGCCATGCTTACATACTGTTGCTCCTGTGAGGGCAGTTAAAGTGAAGAGGTATGACGACCAATACATCTCGCGAATATTTTACGACAAGCCACGGAAACTATCTGCGCCATATCGCTGCTTTGAAGAATTTCTGGTGTTGCACTCAATCTGCAATACTTTTCAAGCAATTAAGACTTTACGTGCACGGGACTGAATAAACGAACAGCTAAATGCCCTCAAAAGTGGTTCTAGGATACATAGCCTGACCTCCCTTTCGAATAAACGTTGCAACCGTCAAGAGATATAGCTTATTTATTGCGCAATGGGATGGTTTACAACGGTTCCCTCGAAAGTTGCTGGGTGTTCGGTCAATCGTTCGCAAATTTCACTCGTAGCACACTTAACCCCGCCATTGGTACGCTGCTTACTACAGGCCCATGCACCAATGTAAATTTTACCATCAAAAGTATCACAGAGGGTATCGTGAACTTGCAACTATCAACAGGCACGGGAATAGACAACTTTAACTCCACTATCGTCAGAAACAGCGGTGACAATATGTCTACGTTCTTGTTTAAGATATTCGCCCTATCAATGGAAAGTGGCGTATACTCCGCTGACTGAAAAACTAGCTACATAACGCCTCACTGCAAGCCCGGGGACAAATCGGGCGTCAGTAATTACAGGCCCATCAACATAACACCTGTCCCCCCCTAGAACTGCGAAGAAAGTAATTGGGAACAGCGTCTCTGATCACCTATTAACGGAAAACCTAGTCACAAAGTCTCAACATGGTTCCATTGAGAATAGGTCCCGTGCTACTTGCCACTTTAATTTCCCCAACTTCATTATTAGTAACCGTCGGGCACGTGAGATCGTCATTGTTCTATACTCTGATGCATCAAGGCAGTTGATAAGGTGTCTCTTAATATAGTCTTTAATAAGCTACGATCAACTGGTATTCGCTACCCCTTACTTAGTTCGATGAAATCATTTCTTAGCGGTCGTGCTCAAATCGTGAAAGTAAACTTCGTCAGGTAAATAAACAGCTAGTGTTTTATTCTCACGTTAAAAAAGTTTTAACATGAGAGAAGCCAGTTAACAGGCTTCATCACGTTGATACATCTCAAAGAGTCTACAAGACTTTATCCCTCAGTGGTACTGACGGAATGTCATTAAACTCAGTTAAAAGCTGCCGAAGGTCCTGCTAGTTGTGAAACGAACAAGTAAACATTACTTTACAGCGTACATGGAGTGTCAAATTTTAGATAATGATAAGTATCGTCTTCATTTAACGGGAGTAACATGAGGGATACCGTCGAATTCATAATTTTTGAGTTTACGAACTGGTATCTAGTATTAAATAGTTTACATATCGAGTCATTAGTGTGCATAATCTGATTAAAATTTGCTGAAATTCATGAGACAGATATGGATTTCCACCTCCCATCTCACAGGCAAGTTCCATTATCAATATCAATACATTTCCAGGTCATGTTGCATTTAAAGGTAATATAGATTAATTCCGCTGGGAATACTTGTTGTACTGGATGAAAATAGATGTTGAAACAGTCAACAGTCCAAGTGGCAGCATTTCTACACAGACTTTGGGTATCTTTTGTATTAGCATAGGTGGTGTAGCGTCATACACTCCCCAAAACCAATGGCCTAGGGTTTGATGACTTTCGACATTGATCTTGATAGTCTAACTGGGCCCACTAAGCTAAAGGCACTCGGTCAAGCATCCTCGCCATTTGGCACGCTGTCGTGTTACGTCGCACTGCTCGTATTCGACTCCCTAGCCACTTTAGTTGGAACACATCGGTATATACTATTCCATCCGACTACGCTATCGTGTTCTTCCTCGGTCTCGTACTCGTGGCTATATAACAAGTCCGAATGATGAGTGATTGGTCTACGCATCTGTCAAGTTCGCACCAGGACAAACAGTAACTGAATACGCGGAGACTTACAGGTCCTCAACATCGTGAGTGTCGGTTCTCCCGGCACCCGAAGCTATAAGCATAAGAATTTGTGGTAAAATAGACGTTTGTATAGGGTAACGCGGCGTCGCAAAGACGAGTCAAACGAGTCGACTGCTTGTAACGGAAATTTAGAAATTCTCACAACCTTGGCGCACTAATGGTGGAAAAAGAAAGTATGACCGAAAACTATCCAAACTTTAACACCCTATATACGCTGAAAAGTTGTATTTTCTTGTTCATTTCATGACTTGTGTAATCTTCTGGTATTTTTAATTTAATGTAATGACCTCCATTCCGTACCATTTGAATCCCGCAAAATCTTGTAAATTTTCAAACATATAAAGATGTAATGATGCCTGCAAACTGGCTTCTCCCATGTTAAATTACTAATATGAGAATGAAATATTTATTTACTTATTTGAGTTGTCTCTCAATGGGAACAACTTTGCTGAAGTTGGTGCTATTGGGTCCTCAACCCCGGATGTTGCGGAACCAATGAGCGTTTAATGATCGTGCAAATTGTAAATTCCCGAAATCCCCTCAGTGGCATGCCGCCGGCAGATTGAAGCGCCAGACAATTCCCTTACCGGGCAGGTGACCGTGAACAAGTCCGTGTTTCCACTCTTTCAAATATTAATCCAGCTTATTCCTGGCCATGCTAAGTTGGACCCTTCATTGCTAGATATCTTCCTCGGGTAGCCTTTGGATAAGTCTAACGTGCCACCCGTTGGCACCCTCCCTATATCGATTTCTCGGGCTATTCGGCCTCGTTCACCTTGAGGTATTGGCCATGCAACCTGTAGACAGTCGCAGATCTCCCTGTTTATGTACGAAAGTTCCCCACCAAAAACGCGTCTCAATCGGCCAAGTAAAGAAGTGGCTTTAGAGATGCCATCAGTGGAAGCCGACTAATCTACGTCGGTGCTTTCACCAACGACTTTTTTGATTGCGCTCTCCTCTCTGTCACAGGTGTTTTCTATAGTCTTCCCGGGCGCATAGTTCGCGTAGAAAGGCGAGGGGACCACGCGAACCTGATGGTTAATCCATCGATATTCAGTAGCCTGCTGGTCCGTGCATCTTGTGTCCAATCTCATCCCCGTGACCTAGTTGTAAGGCACCTCTGAACACTCCTATTTTTAGTCTTATCCGAACGAGGATACCACTGAGTATAAATCGGCATTATTCTAATGGTGGACGTACGTGAGTTTGACGCGGCGGTAAGTTAGCGTTTCTGAGGTGAAGGTCATGGATTACACGGCCCGGTGGGGCCCTAGTTTTGTGACTATATGATGCCACCTGTTCACAAACTTAAGGTCACCTGAGTGTCTTAGTCCAGGGTCCCACATGCTTCTAAGAACTTGCAGCTTGATGGGGTGAAGGTGTCGTTGGAAGTTTATCTAGGGGCCACCAAAACGTATCCGGCCACATTTACCTTCGATGGAATGAGGTCTGCGAGTAGTAGACCATGTGGATGCCCTACAAAGCTTTCTTTGTACCAATGTTTGGAGGTGGGATGAGTCAGCATACGTGAATCTGCACGCAGCCTTCGGGTCTTCAGTAGACAAGAATTGCCTACCGTGTGTAAAGCAGCTGAAAGTGCTATTCACGCGCAGAATAAAGAGAAGGGGTCCGTTGCACTCCCTTTAAATACACTAGAGGCAATTGGCGTGGTTTTTGAAGTGAGTCGGTATACCTTCACCGCTTGGGTTCGATCACTGAGGAAAGATTTATTCCATCTTAATAGTGGATGATCAACTCCCAGAAACTTATCTTACTTATTAACAGTAAGTGATTGACTTTTCCAGATGCCCTTGAAATGTTTAAGTAGGGTGCATGGACTAACTGGTGCCAATTAGGTACGGTAATTATGGAGTTGAAGCAGCCAAGATGACAGGTTGTCCCGGACCTCGATTTTGGGGACCCACGTGGACTGGTTGTGATAGTGCTGTAACTAAACGTAAACTTCTCCACAGTTCTATAAACTACAGGAGTAATGTTTACTGGCCTATGGTCACCAGCTAATGTCTTTGATCCAAACCTATATCGAGGTAGGATGAATGATATTTTCTTAATATCGTAGTATGATGGAGGTTTTAATGACAGAATGCAATAATAAGTATTTTATTCGCACATTATGAATCTAACGTAAAAGAAGCCAGTTTACAGGCATCACTGCAGTGCTGTCTGTCGAAACGAACAAGAAAATATCTCTTTTCGGTGAATACACAGCCTTCTAGTCTACATCATCCTCGGTCATATTTTTCACTAAAGGTCGCGCATTATACCAAGTTTGCGTCACAAGCAGTCGGCACTTTTGACTCACATTCGTAGTGCCGTGTAACGCCAGGCGAACGTCTGTTTTACCATAAATTCTCATACTTATATCTCTAGTGACCAAAAAAAACCCACGCTGACGACTTCTAGAATCGGTAAGTTTCCACGTAATCGAGTTATCTAAACGAATATCCATTTTCAAGCATCCCCCAGCCTTTAAGCGGTAACATTCATGGCGGTACAAATTTACCCCTCTAGAATGAAAAGTTACGGTGCAGCGGGATGAACGTCTGAAGAACCGCAGACCAACAGTAATGGGCTTTTACACACAACTCACGTTCAAGCATGAAGCATCATGAAGGAAGTACACCCTCAGCCAGATGAAGTACTGGAGAAGCCTGTTGCATAGCATTGTTGTGAATATATTCACTCCGTAGTCAACAGTTGCGTTGATTTCCTGGGTTTAACTACCTGTCCAGATCTTTGCTATCATTGTAGCCGTCCAGGAATTTGAGCAATTCGAGGATGGATGAATGTTCATGTGGTGATGGGGTCAAATGAATGAATGGGACCGGTAATATTTTAAGTAAATGTTTTGGGCAACAATAATGGAATATTGGGCCACTGTATTTGAAGAAATGTGATGGTACCTTGTCTGTGTCAGAGCTGTTGGAGCATTCAAGCGTCTTAGTGGCTTGGTTAATATTAGAATATGCGAACTTGGTAGAGCCTTTTGGCATTAGGGGGGAGCAGAATAGTTTTTCTTAGGGCATACAACGTTAATCTTACAGGAAAGATTAGTAAGTCCCAGATAACTGACACAAATATGTCTCTGAATATTTTATACAGATCTATCAGATTGTTAAGGGCCTTGTGGTCGTGAATAAGAAGAGGAATTTTACGTGCTACGCATTACAGCCGCTTCTTTAGGAGTGTGGAAAGAGCTTATATATCAGATGAGCTAGCTACCACACTACTCTATTCACCCTCCTTGCGCATATAGTGGCTGCGTGAGATGGAATTAAGGATACTAAGAATCAACCAATTAATCCAATTTGTGATGTCAGCAGTATCTCGTTGAGGATTGCGTAGCCTTCTGTGAACACTGGGGGGCACAGATAGCCCAATGTTTGGAGGCACTTTGTTGTAGTTCTTCAGAGTAACAACCACACTGAAGCGGGTCTTGGAATTGTAGCAGAATACGTCAAGCGATAAGTTGAGATCTGTACCGGTGAACTTTGATCCCCAGTCAATGCGTCTAATCAGTGAACATGTCAGCTTTCAGTCGGCTTTGCCGTAGCCCTGTGTATATCGTTCATTGTAGGGTAGAAGTACCGATTGAAGTGCTAGTTGAAGGAAGTGGTAGTGCACACAAGACAGTTATATGTCCACCTCGTGGAAACTTGGAGCCCACATTTGTCAAAAGAGGAATGTAACCACTGCAATTCAGCTATGCTGGTCCGAACGTGGGAAACCATTCAACGGGATCAAACTGACGCGATCCAGATAAGTTCCTACGTTCAACTGTATGTTCCCGAACTTTCGTTGGTGAAGCACAGCCAAAGATTGGTCCAACAATATCAGAAGGCGATTTGTAGTAAACCTGTGACAGATCTGTAAAAGGTCTATGGTACTATCAAACAACAACAAGATATATCAGGATTACAAGAACACTTCGATAAGGCCGCTGGGCAACTTTACGGTCCGAAACGTCCTCTGGCGCGAACGCGTACTACATGGCGAAAAATTGGTTAGCCAAATACAATTCTTAAGTATCTGAAAGTCAATAAGACTGTTCTCAGTAAAGTGGGACCAATAATCTGTCTAAATGAATCACAGCGACCAACAAGCGTTTCCGTTAAACAGTTATAAGACAGGCAGTCAAATCACAGCCCAACCCTAGGTTGAGTCAAGAAAGGTCGGGGACGATAAGGCAACGCCAATAGTACAGCATCCTGCAGTAGCAAAGTAAAACACTGAGGACAGTTCTCAACCAAGAGAAGGACAAATGATGAGTGTACGGTCAAGGAAGACAAGCATACGGCAAAATAACACTATACCATGTAGAGTCGAAGGCATAATATCCATAACGAGGGTAGAAATATTCGAACAAGTATCATTACTGTCAAACGGGGTGCTCAGAAAGAATTTGCATATCACTTTTTCCGTTACAAAGAATTATGCTGTGCTCAAAAGCGCAGATTTTCGAGATCTATGTCAAGCAATCGAGCTTGTTCAGTGGGTTCGGGTAAAACTGAACAGGTAACAATGATTCTCCTTGAGTCGTGCGTGCGGTCACACAGAATTCAAGTAGCGATTCCAGGATGTGTTTACAAAGTAGACGGAACAAGCCCAAGTGATGAGAATAGAAGTTACGCTGGTTCTCCTCAGCTTTCTGAAGGGGAGTGAACGCTTCAACCAGATATCCTTCCATAGTCTTGCTGAAGGATGAGAGGTGATTTCACATTGACACAATACATTTTAAGTGGTGATTTGAAAGTTAATTTTTACTCTTGTCTTTGGCGAAAGAAGGTTGTGTCCTAAGTGGACGAAATCGGCAGGCTCAAAAGCCACTATCAAAGCCTAATATCTAAAAATTTGTGGTCGTTTGTTGTTGACTATAGGAGCCTTCAGTGAGGGAGTGTTATATCAGCATCTTCTGTTGATGCCAGGCCAATAAGGACTGGATATCCACGATAACAATAACGATTTATTGTGAATTATACGAACATATTTCATTTTGAAAGGCAGTATCTGAACGTTACTGTTCGCGGCAAAGCCAAGAAAATTTGAAACGAATAAATTATCATCGCATATTCAGTCTCATAGTATGTCGTTACTCAGATATTACTGGTCCGAAGTACAGGAAGGAAACCACTTCCTCATGCAACAGAAGTAAAAGGTAACACTGGCATCATCACTCAGCGTGAGCAGTAACCTGGTAATAGCGATTAGACTTCAACACTTCAGTTTGTGTGAGTCACTTAGTAGGAGTACGTGGTATATCGGCTATTGAGCATTCTTGACGC